CAATTGATTTGACTACCACAGATGATCCTCCCTCCATGAGCTCGCTTAGAAAGTACACAAGTATTGCCACTCGTAGAAAACTCTACTCGAATATGTTACACATACGGAGTAGTTCCTCTTGGATGACCGCACAGATTTCGGAGGGTTACGTCATAATATATATATCGCCTCAATGCGTGCAACATTGATCGGAAATCCATCCAACTGTGTAACAAGTCGTTTTTATTTAGACTGGGTGGCGGTTCACTTTGCCCTCCGTGCGTCATCACAGACCGATGGAAGACACTTCAGCTTGGGACTGTATGAGAGTGAATTGTTGTCTTGACTGTTGAGTATTTCGATGTAGATTTCGATTATGAGCATTGCTTAGATCTATTCTACCTGGTTTAATGATGTCTGCTGGGTAGCCATACGAAAGACGAGAATCTACCGCGTTCGGGATGCTTGTGAACTGTAGGGTCATTCTACCCCCTGAACGAAGACTTCGGTGCGACGATATTTACCTCTCACATTTCAGCGGAGAAGAAAAAGAAGCAAGCATAGGTATTAGATATGCACAGAGCATTTTTTTTTACGCCCTAGTTTCTCTTTCCTCCCTTTGTATCAGCCTTCAAGCAGAGTGGCGGGATTGCCAGGTCTAGAATACCAGGGTATAAAGGAAGGGAAAGGAGAATCGGAGAATTGAGAGTGCCTAGATTTTATACTCCGTACATCCCGCCGACCGATCACGTTCATAGGGGAGAACGAGGTAGTGTGGGAATTAACAGCTCGGAGTATGTACTCATGAACCCCAGAAATCCGCGCGTTGTGCGATATTAAGTGGTATTAATTGACTCCACCGGTAAATACAGACACGTACAAAGTTTATAAATAGTAATCCGGAATATCGGCTAGTTAGAGGAGAAAAGATCGAGATAACGGAGAGTTTATCGCGATGGTATCGTCGGATGGTCATTGCGAGTGGGCATCTCGAAAACTACGGCGTACTCCGTACACATTCTGTTTGTCCCCCCTGGCAAGAGAAAATGTTGTACTTGACGACTTGAAAATCGAGACGGTGCCATGCATGTTGATCTCGACTTGTCAGATGGAGCGGACGCCAGTCAAGACATTCGCGGCGTGTCGCGCCCCAGTATTTTGGCGGTGCACACCGGCGATTCCATTGGCCCACAATGAGTTTTCAGTTTTCAAATTTGGCCACGATATGTTGGATACGCTGGCGAGTGGAGTCTGCTGTGCAGAGTACGAGGCCAGGAGGCCAACTTTAAAAGCTGCAAATCAGAATCAGGGATGAACTTTGCTGCGTATCAGCCATGCGCAGGGGGACAATTGCGCAGACACTCAGCGCACAGGAAGACCAAGGTCAAGACCAACCCCTGTGTCTGGTAGACTACTTTAGTAGTGATCGGGGATGCTTAGTCGACTAGCAGCGTGTTTTCCCATGGGGAACCATTATGGAACCATGGTCTGCAAGAGATGACAGGTTTGACACGAAGGGATCCAGCCCAGGAATGGTCGGCCACAAAGAATGGAAGAAAAGCGAATGCGCTGGCAAGTGTTTCACCTTCAGGGGAGACGAATGAGCGGCGGGCCTGACTGGAGCGGAACGACCCGTATGACATTTTAGCCCGCGTGGCGCAGTCGGCACCGTTGTGCAAGCGGGTGAAACAGGGGGCCCAGACCGATCCAGTGGACCTTGACTCTGCATTCTGCAGGCGGATGGAAAGACTGAAAGAGCAACCATTGCTCCTTTGGACGGCGGGCTCCATCCATCCCTGACGAGAGAACACTCGCTCCTTCCTAGAGGGGACGCTATACACGGTAGGTACCGTGTACGCTGTATATAAACGGCGGAGGGAGCACTCTGTGTAGAAAGTACCGTACAGACGGAGTACCCTGTACACGTCTTACTCCATCTAGAGGAATTAATTTACGAGGCCCCGGGAAGGCGGCGCCTCTTTTTTTCATTTCTTTCGTTTGTACTCCGTAGTCAGATTCCTGTAAGCCGATCATTATTATTAGTTAACTACCTGCACGCTGGAGTCTCACACCTCAGTCCACTTTCTGGATTCTTCCCCTTCCCTTCCTTTCCCTTCTCATCTTCCTCCATCGCTTGGGTACGATCATTCTTTAATTTCCCCTACTCACCCACTACTGCGACTTTATATTCTTAGTTTCTCTCGTTCACGCTACTGGGTTAGCAGCTTCTTCTGATAATATCACTCGTCCATCTCCTTTCTTTTTCCGCGGGTGAACAGACTTTTACTTTTCGATTATCATTTCGTTTGCTTACTCTCTCCCTCATCAATCTCACCGGCCCCTCTCCCTCTTACGCCATGGAAGGCAACACAGCCCCCCCTGCAGATGTCGCAGGTCCAACTGGAGACGCCGCGCCTCCCGTCCAGTCTAACGTTCACTCCCATGCCGTCCATCACGATCCGAATACCACCAACCTAGATGATAAATCGGCCTCCTCTTTCACTCGTCCTGTCCTCACTCGTCCAACCTTCATGGAAAACCTGGCCAACTCCCGTGATTCGCAATTCATGCTTGACCGACGGAATTCCAGCGAGATCGATCGTTACTTTGTAGGCCCTCTCCCATGCCGCTTGCCAATTCTGTTTGGCGGGTCCGGCGCGTGCTAACTTGCCCTCGTTTCTATAGCACGGTCCTCGCGATCTCGACAAACACTCAAAATGGCCTATCTTTCTTCGAATGCATGGCAGTGTCTTGCCGAAGTTGATTCTTCCCCTGATGTTTGTCGCCGCTTGGTCGACGGTCATCACCTGTATTTCCAAATTCGTCCATGATAGTAAGTTGTCAATCGATATCCAGCCGGCCAATTCCAATCTAACCGCATCATAGTTGGAATCAACAACATTCTGCTCACGGTCACCGGTTTCGTGGTCGGTCTGGCCCTGTCTTTCAGAAGTTCAACTGCGTACGAAAGGTAAGCTGAGCGCTAGTGAAGTTCAACCGGGTTCAAGGAGTCCCTCTCTAACTGTCGCAGATGGGCCGACGGCCGAAAATATTGGTCACTTCTCATTCAGACCTCCCGCAATCTCGCTCGCACGATCTGGATCAACACCCAAGAACGAGAGGGAGAGCTCGGAAAGGAAGATTTGCTGGCAAAACTGTATGCTTGGCTGTCTACTAAAAACGATGCTAAATTAGCGCGCTGACATTGTCTAGCACGGGCATGAACCTCATTCTGGCCTTTGCGATCTCCCTTAAGCATAAGCTCCGATTCGAGCCCGACATGGCTTATGAAGATCTTGCGGGTCTAGTAGCCTACCTCGACACCTTCGCTAAGGAAGCTCATGATCGCGACCACCTGCGGCCCCCCCAGAAGAGTCTGTGGAAATCGGCCGGTGAATATCTGGGCGTCTCGTTCGCCGAATCTAACCCTAGAAAGTTGATCAAGCGGTCCAAGAAGCCCTTGGGTCATTTGCCTTTGGAAATCCTGAACCATCTTTCCGCCTACGTCGACAGATGCATTGCAAACGAGACCATGTCTGTCAGCCTTCATCAGGGCCAAGCCAGTGAGTTCAAATCTCCGACCTACCTGTGATGGGTAGCAGCTGGGTGCGAGTGTTTTGTACTGACATTTTCAAGTCGCTGCTCTGTCTACCTTGAATGAAGTCGTCACCGGCACTGAGCGCGTTTTGGACACCCCTCTGCCCGTCGCCTATAGCATTGCCATCTCCCAGATCTCCTGGCTCTATATTTTGGCTCTGCCCTTCCAGCTGTACGACATGCTACAATGGGTCACCATTCCCGGATCTATCGGTAAGTTCACCCTGCCGCCTCCGTTCTTACCGGGGTATTCTAACATCATCTCAGTTGCCGCGTATATCATCCTCGGCCTTGCCACTATTGGCAGTGAAATCGAGAACCCCTTCGGCCACGACGTTAACGATTTGCCTTTGGACACGTATTGCCGGCAGATCGCCCTGGAATTGGATGTTATTACCGCTATGCCGGCGCCCAAGATGGACGAATTCAGCGCTCGTGATGATAACCTTGTGCTCTTCCCTCTCAGCGCCTCCGGATACCCCGAGTGGAAGAACCGCAGCGTTGAGGACATCCGTGCTGCGTTGAAAGCCAAAGTGGTCGCCAATACCAACTCCCCCGAAACGGCGTATTCCGATGCGTCCACCGTCGTGCCCAGTGTTGGCAGCACCAAAAGCAAACAACCCGTCTAAAAGAAATTTTTGAACATACGACATAAATTCCAACAAAAATGACATCAGCGTGAATTGTCAGTCAGCGGGAGTCCCTTCTTCTTTCTCTTCTTTCCCTCGTTCAGATATTCCCCCTTTTTATATTTTATCATTTAAAGCCAACCAAATCTCCTGGAGCATGCGAATTGGGCGTCTTAGATCAACTTGGGTTTCGGTGTTATGATGTATTATTTTTTTTTTGAAGAAAAAGGGAGTCTTGTCGGTCGTTACAGTTGCACCACTGTGTTTATTGTGGACTTTTAACTATTTTTGAAGATGCTGGATATGTACGATCTTTTTTCCGTTGTCTAGAATGTCCATGTCGAAAATGACAGCTGAATATATGTGTTGATTCTTTCAGTCTTGGTTTCGTAAAATATGATAGGATATGATATATATGCTTCTTGAGGTTAGGTCTGCCTCATGGGATGTGGATGCGGGTCGAGGTAGGTGTAGACCTTGAAGTGATGCTCCAACCCAGCGCAATGGCGGTCCATATCCTGCGCATGACAACATCGTGCAACGATATCAGCCTTGGCGATTCCAGCGGAATTGCTTCAGACTTCATGTCTCTGAAGCGGCAGACCTGTACCTGGCCAGGACATTAATTGTGCACGCCTATATGCGCATCTTAACAGGACCAGGACCAGAACCAGGACCGATTTATGATCCAAACCCCATACGTAATGGTAGCAGTATCCGGTTTCTCCAGAAAAACCCCCTGGTCCACCGGAGAGAGAAAGAGAGAGAGCCCCTCGCTTGACGAAAGGTCCCGATCTACTCAGGAACAAGCAAATCCCCACCACTCCCATTCACCAACGCGCCTAGATAATTTCCCTTCGCGCATACCCTCCACGCCACGCTGCCGACGACCCCTCCGCCGGTATTTCCTCCGATCCAGGAGCTCAGCGCCGCCGTCACGGCGGGGGCGTCGGCGCTGGGAACGCGGATCCAGGCTATTTTCGGGGTGATGGTGGTGGTGTTGGTGTTTTGGGGGGGAAATGATTGTGTTTCGGGCGTCTCGGGGGTGGTTGAAGGGGTGGTTTTGAGGATGTCGATGGATATCGTGGAGCCGGTTAGGCCGAGGAATTGGGTCAGGGCGGAGGTGAGATAGGTACGCGCTGTGAGAGGGTCGAGGGGTGCGGATTGGACTGAGGGGGAGGTGCCGGGTTGGTGAATTCTGCATTTTTTTGGAGTTCAGTTAGCGAGTGTTCGTTGATATTTGGTAGGAAGGGGTATATACAGTTGGAGTTTGAAATATGTCCATGGCGGATTTCGCGCGGTGAAGTTGGTGACGGGTGCTGATGATGTTGATGATGGTTTGGTTGTGGAGGCATCGACATCGGGGGCTTTTCGTTTGACAGATGTCGGTTCTGATGATTTACTTGGGGACATTTTGGGGTAGATTAATGGACGTTGTCGATAATGGTTGGCGTGGAATTGGCAGAGATGGTTTGCGCCGGAAAAAAATGACGGAGGAATTCCCGTGATGTCACGGAGTGTTTTGCGATTACCGTACGGGTGTGGATGAGGCCCATCTGCGGTTCTTGGACAACTCCAGATAAGGATTTCTGGGCATTACTTCTGTACAATAGCTTCCTCAAGCTTGCTTCGTGCTTTCTGCAAAAATCCGTCTTCGCCTTCGCTTCCAATGTTGAGATCTGAAATGCTAACTGTCTTGTCACGCGATTTCAACCCGCGGATGACTTCCACACTGGACTTGGGGACTTGGAAGACCTGTTTCCACGCATAGTGATTAGTAGTTGCAACGATAATGTATTGAGTGTAAAAGTCCCTTTATTTTGTATTCAGTAAATTGAGTTGGACGGGGAACATACCTGTGCCAACACGCGCGACACGGCCGTGTTTGCTTCGCCATTCCTCGGCACCGCAGCCACGCAGACATCGACCCGTTCTGCTCCTATCGCAGTGATTCCCTCTCGATTGCCGGACGCATTAGGCTTGACATGACAGGAAATCTGTAGGCTATACCTTACCGGAATGCGTTGACTGCTGTTGCGAGATTTGGTGGTGACATTTTGGACGAGGCGAAGGAGGGGGAACGAAGGCCCGGACATGATGGGATGCGGCTTGCAGAAAAAGGATTTTTGGCTCCCGATCAAATGATAGAGTTATTAGTATGGTAAGCACTAATGATGTATAGGATGATATACAGTTCAAGAAGGCAAGGGTGCGTCGAAGTGTAAATTGGCAGCTGTCAGCCCCGGACCAAAGTCTTGGCTCCCGAGATGGAACTATATATTTTCGGGATGCCGAGAAGATACACCGACTCCTGCGTACTACTCCGTAGGTATACGTTTGTCTGGTAGTAGAAGCTAGAAGAACAGAGAGAGTGCTTCTTGACCCAGAGCATGTATTTGCATTGGATTGATTAGAAGGCGCTAGATACTGGGAATTAATTTTCACAATTTACTGTACAATTGCCTGTTCCAGGTGACGACTTTCGTATAGATCGGGTATGAGATATACCTAACAAAAGGATTGCTACTATGCTAGATTTTGGTATAATAGAAAACCAAAAAACCCCAAGAGGGATTAAGCCAGAGGAAAAGGTTCTTTCAAAAGAAGAGAAGGACAGGGGCATTGTTGTGTTGCTGTCTTCACAGCAACCAGCCAGGTTTTCACTTGCAAGTGCAAGAAAATGTCAACAATGCAAAGCAAGCACCCGTACTTTGCTCCCTCACTTCCCCCAACACGTCTGTTCATTGGATACCATTCAATCTGTTCCTTGCAGTCTTTGATTGGGAAACCACGATATCCTTTGTTCTTTATGGCTCTGCCTGCTTGTCTCTCTCACTGACAACACCTGAAGGCTTATTTCTTTCTGGGTGAAGTTCATTGGCCGTGAAGGCGCTGAAAGCGCAAGTTGTTTGGCGCCCAAACAGGAACTGGTGTGATTCACTGCGCGGATCTAAGTCCGGATCATCAAATCATGACCTCTGATCCGAAAGTTGGCGATGCCATACCTTCCCCCAGTTCTGTGCCAGCCAATACCGATACATTGAACGTGCAGAGACACCCCGCGGAATCTTCCAGAGCGGAAACCAGACGCAGAGTTAGGTCTAGACCGCAGAAGCAAGCGACTGAAAGAGGATTTCTCAAATACGTAAGTCGCCAGCCAGAAAACCTGACTACGGTTCTGCCCACACTGCTTACCCTGCCATTTTGTAGCCTCTAAGATACATCCTGCCAAAGCCTCCCATGTCTTCTGGACAGCAAAATCTTTCTGAAGCCGGTTCAAACGGTGGTCAGTCAGGCACCACCATGGCCATTCAGCCTGATACCGACGACAGAACTGCCCCCCATGCCGAGCAAGAGAGCTGGAGTATAACCAACCTGCCCGACATCCTGTATGTCTTGCGCCCAGGAACCGAGAATGCCAAATGCAGACATCGCGTCCATCGCAACGTCGGCCCCATCTTCGGCAAGATGATTCGTAACCTCCCCGTCCTCCCAACTCGTCTCTCCTCTCAAGTTGAAGGCTGGCGTCTGGAAACCTGGATGCGTCTGGACCGCCGGGTGACTCCAGCAGATATAATGGACCGCATCAACCCGCTCTTTCGCTCCAACATGACAGAGAACGATGTGGAATACCGGCGCCACCTGTTCCGCCAGGCCTTCCTAGTCGCTCACTGGGGAAATCAGAAGTCCATAAATGATGTCTGCCGTCTGGTGAAGGGCATCGGACGTGACCCCAAGATGAACTCCACCAGAGGCTTGACCCCTGGTCTGATCGTGCCAGCTGAAGGAGAAGCCGGTGGGCGTATCCCCTTGCCGCCACCACCTGCCCCTATTCGCATTCGCAATATCCCTGAACCCGTGACAATGAACCCTATGCCTGGCCCTCCGAAACCCCTCATGCAGCCGGACGCAGTTGTGAAGCCCCAGTACCTAGGTGAGTGTGTGCTTTCTTTCAAGGATCGCGACGACGAGATAGCAATTAAGGCCCCCCGTACTCCTATGAGCGAAGATCACCAAGCACTGCACCGTGGACCAGAGCTCAAGATCTTGTTTGAGACCCCTCCTAAGGCTAAGTTTCGCGCGGTAGACCAGTCCGACGGCGAATCCTCCATGGCACTTGTGCCCCGGCCTCACACTCCTGACACCGACCGCAAAAGAAAGATCGAGTTCGATCCTGACGAGTAAGTATCGTAGTCTCCGCTTCTAAGCAAAGCTAATCCCGACGTATCTAGTGTCTTCAGCCCGACCCCGCGTGCCAGAAGAAAGACAGTTCACCATGAGGATATCCCCCCTTTCCCTGCATATCCTAACCCACCGATTGAACTGGCCTCCCACGAGGGACCCCTGGCTCATTTCTTCCCAGCACCGGTCGAGCCTGAACCAGAACAGGAAATGAGTCTCGAAGAGTATCTGGACCACAACAAGCTTGGATACTTGGAGTTCTTGAATGCTCGCTATCTTGATGACATGGACTTTTCGCTGAACCGCGGCGTAGGAGCTTGGATGTGATCTTGTGGGATCTTTTGATCTGGCTTGGATCCTGCTTTCTGGATTGACTCTGGATTGATGATTTTTTGAAGTGAATGATATGAATCTGTACCTTGAAGGCAGTAGCCGTCTGCAAGGCATCTGATGGGTTCTTTGTTTTGCAGATATCTGTTTTGCATTTTGTTTCCTTTCTACGGGTGGATCCAGAGATTTTTTTCTTGTACGTGCGGTTACTTGAACTCAATGTTTTTGTGGTTTTCTTGTGTATTCAAGGCAGGGGCTTTACATATGTACAGTAGTATCATAGGCACACTCTTGTGGTAGTTAGTACAGCTAATATGGAGCTTGCCGTTAGTTATCAGATGTCATCAGATCTACAAACGAAACTTGTTTACATTTCATTGTCCTCATCGATGGGAGCAAAAACCTTCAAAATATCTTCTTCACCTAGACAATTTCAGAGACTTATCACCCCTAGCCTTTTTCGGACTCCAGCTTCTTATTCCAGTCACACGCCAGAAAGCGTATGCACACGATATGACACCTCAGCAACCCTAACACACCACAATCGCCCCAGTCTCTTCTAGAGCTTCTCACGGAAACAGTAATGCCTACTGCGAGTGAGATCACCAGTCAAGAACTCCCCAGCCCCTTTAACAGCGACCGTCAATTCCCCGACAGCCAACACATAGGTTCTGGGTCGAAGCTGCTAGTGCGATCGACCAAAATGGGTCTGACAGATCCGGGGTAGACGTGACACTCGTGCTGCAGGAACAGGACCACAAGCACAGCAGTGTTGGCAGCTCGACTACGACAGATAAAGTGCTCGATATGGGGCTCGCTATGAAAAAGAATATTTGGAGAACAGTTGTTCTTGATAAAAGCGATCCGAAGGGCTGTTATGGCTGAATTAGGTGGTGATGAACTTGACCCTAGGAAGCACACAGGCTTCGATGCCCCTGAACTCAGGTCTAGTGAATTCCATTGAGATATACTATTCCGGACTGTTAGCCCTAGCTCCTGTGTTGGTACCAGCCTCCCGTATTGCATAGGGCTGGTAAGAAGAAAGAATAGATGCTATCGTGGTCCTGGATTGCTCTTTCCCCTTCACATATCGTCTTCTCTCTGTTTGGGAATCAGTGTTCCTTCTCTTACTGCACGCCTCCATTCGCATCGCTCTTGCTTCCCCTCATACACAATTGCACTTTCGTTGGTGTTTATCGGCTGTGTTCGAGCTTGCAGAATATTTCCGCTGATATTGAAACACGAATAGTTGCCTCCGGTTTTGAATCCAAGAGCTATGTCACCCGTGCAACCTCAGGTAAGAGTGTCTCGCTATACTACCACTTCGCATATGGGAACACACGAGTATAGTTGCATGAAGCCGAAGGTCATAATGTAGAAGCCCAATATGGCTAGCTCAAACAACACCGCAAGCATCCTGAGGCCCGTCAAATTCCCGGGAGTCGACAAAAAGACAAAAGACAAGCCGGTCAAAAAAGGTGAGTTGCTTCCGCACTCAACAGGCCAAGTAGAACACTAACACTTAAACAGTGCCCCGACAGGATAGCCCTAGGGCAAAAGATCCCCTCAACTTCACCTCGTATCGTCCTGACCAGGATCATTGGTCATGGAACAGCTTTCCGGAGATCCTTTACCAGTTGAAGCCCACTGAGAAGAGAAATAAGGGACTAGATGCGCCTCTTTTGACCTACCAAATCCACGGCGAATACCTGCGAGACCTTCCCGTGCTCCCCGACAACATTGCATCTAACGTGGAGGAATTCCGCGTCGAGGCCTGGATGCGTCTCGATAGACGTATCCAATTGAGGGATATCAAGGACAGAATGCACAAGGATTTCAGAGTCTCGGAGAATACCCTGCAGCAACGAATTGGCCGCTTCCGCCAGTACATGAGAATGTTGGCTTGGGATTCCGGCAACAAGAAGAGTTAAGAGTTCGAGGCCGAGTTGATGCAAGAGCTGATAACGAAGGGCATCGACACCTCGCTCAATTCAACTCGGGGTCATCACGCCTGGACTCATTGACCCCGTGCTTGGCGAAGCTGGGGGTAGAATTGCCCTCCCTGCTGAGTACAAGCGACACGAAAGTGTTGATGGGCGAGTAAGCACTTCAAAAGATGGGAACAGCTTGGAGGATTCAAAGGAAGGTGCTCCTCAGGAGCCTGTTCCGACCCAGGAGAAGAGAGTCTTCGCACGAGATCCGGTGCCTCCCCTTCTGTTGGCTGCTTTCCGCAGGAGCGAGAGCCATGGCCGGAAACTGCGCTTCCGGAGAACATTCGCGGATTATTTATCGACCAAATGCTGCAGAGATGCTTCAGAGGCGGTGTGTACATATTTCAGCTGCCTACATGTGCGACTCCCCCCCTGTTCCGACGGTCTGATTGAGGTTGAAAGCTAGGATGGTTTCCTGTCGATAGCACATCTACTGCGATAAATGCATGACTTGACGGGTTTGATTTGATCTGCAATATCTGCTTTGTTCTGTCGAATATGCATCTCTTCCATCTAGGATGACATGACCAGAGAGATAGTCCGTGTGGATACATGAGATTGTAATTACTGGAGTCAATTTCGAATTCACTCTTATAAATGCGATGACCATATGAATATGGCAGAGATTAACCAACTTGGACATGTACCGAGGTAAATAAATGGTGAAAGTTGGAAGCTCCTGCTCGATATGAGATCCTAAAATAGTGATGGAAGTAGGATCCTGATTAATTTGGTCTCTATTGTCCATTGAGGAGAAGGGTAGAAATCAGGTCTGCGATGTTTCTGTACTGCTGTCTGGCTCCTACCAGCGGGGTATAAAAGAAAAGACCGCGGCTCCCTGCTTGTTTTTTCCGGAGGATGTCTCTTGTTTGTTTGTGTTGACCACTGTTCACCTGTGGTTTTGGTCTAGTCGGCAGATTTCGAACGCCAGTAGTTTGGACACTTCACTCTCTCCTCCTCGCATTCCCCTTCTTATTATCCTTCTTCACCCCCTCCACCTGATTGAACCTCTGCGACAACCATCATAATTCAAGCCATCAATCTCAGTCATGTCTACTTCTAGCACTTCTGAAGCATATATCTCTCCCTGTGAGGGCCTGCCCTTCATGGATTATAGCGAGTGGATATACTGACCTGGCATTCAGCAACCTCTGTTTCAAATACCCCTTCCAACTATACATGCCATCGTGGGATTCCCCTTCTTTAGAGTTCCGAAGTATCTTTCTAACCGGCTATGTAGATACTACTCCTCCAGACGAGACTCACACTTGTGACCATCCCCATCATTCTCCTTTCTGGGAGGGTAATCTTCCGCCTCTCCTTTTCCGTCTAGATCCACCAGAAAACCGAGAACACGGCATTATAACAGAGCTCGAGGAGGATGGGGCGATCGTACGGGACCAGAAGGGAGCTTCCATTCGCTATTTCGAGTTCTTGCCACGTTATATATCCAATAACCCACCCACATGGCTCATCGAGTACTGGATGCGCACCGACGCCCGCCTGACATATCGCGACATCAAAGCGCGTATGACCGCTCCCAGGGACCAACAGCCCACCGAGAACGCCCTGAATATGCGTCGCGAGAGAGAAGTTCGCAGTCCTCTGGGTCTTTCCTGCTGGGCCGCTCGTCGGGGCAGGACCAGTCGCGTCGCTCGCATTGATCTGGAACGCATGGAGAGTTGGACCTACGATCAGGTTCATTTGAACACGACGATGGAGATCGAATATAGATTTGATAAAAAAGTCGGACAGCTGGTCCCCTGTCGCCTGCGGTCCAAGTCTCTCACATCAGACTCTGAGACGACCGCATACTATCCTCTGAACCATTTTCTCAATGCAGATGGTGCTCATGTCCCCTCCGACAGGACTGTCACGGCTATGGACACGTTTTTCGAAGTCTCTGAGAGAGCAAGGGCAAAGGGGTTGGATTCTTGGCGGCGTCTCCCTGCTGAAGATATTCCCGTCAATTGGAGGGAGTATCAAGAAAAGCCGAGGCCCGTTAGTGCCAGAATCGTTGAGGACAAGGATGAGGCTGCTGGGCCTGTTGGGCCTGCTGATACATCCTCCCACGAGAAAGCGGATTACGAAGAATCCGAGTAAATTTCGTTTAGAGACCAGTGTTACCATTTGGGTACGGAGGTTCCCTTGGTGTTGGTTTGCCTAGGCTGAGGAGCTATGATTTCTTTGCGCCGGCTACTACCTAGTTCACCCGCGTGATTTGCTTTGGTTATGCTTTCCTCTTTCCTTCTTTCCTTCCTCACCTTTTTTTTTTTTTTTGGTTTTTTTTTGGTTTTTGTCTCTCTTCAAGGGACAAAATTTTTTTTTCAGTCAATTCTGTTCACTGCGGTCTGGGTGTACTTCTTCAGTCAGCCTAATCCTGGACTGGGCAGCTTTTTGTCAGCTTCGTTCCTTGAGTTCTGTTTAGAAAAGCTTTGTGTTCAAATAACAATTTGATTCAGATTAATATTGATTATTAGTCGTCAGGTTTCACTCGTAGGCTCGCGTACTAAGACTAAAAAGATCATTCTACTATGACGGCAATCTAGAAAAGCAAAATACTGTCTAAACTGGAGAAACCCGTGGCAACACCTCCCTCGTTGACATCCTTGGCCTTGGTTCGCATGAGCCATCCGCCTTGCTCGTTGTGCAGGACGGTACCCCGGGCCTGATCCCACAGGATGGTTCCGTAAACACCCAACTCCCCAATGACGTCGCCACGGATGACCTCTCCGTCGCTTCGCAGGGCCACATTCTGCGCCTCGGCCGGGGGGTGGATCAGCTCCATCAGAATCCAACGCTTCCAGTCAGTCTCGGGGATCGAACGCAAAAATTCAGGAATAGCAGTCTTGTAGACATTATTGCCGCCGCCTTCGCGCTGAGGCTTGAGAACGTGGTTGGCGGCCGTCTCGGGGTTGAGAGCAAGCTCCCGACCACGCCCCGTAGAAGAGAGGTCGTACTGAGGAGCAAAGGTCGCCCGTAGTCTTGCGATGACGGACTGATCCACTTCGGCGAGGAAGCTTGCCAGGTGGTCGGGTCCGGCGGTCTCCGCAAGCACCTGCTGAACAATCTTACAGCCGGACAACTGGTTCAGGACGGTGGGGCACTTGATCGCAGCAGACCGTTCCAAATGGAGGCGAGCTTCCCAGTCCCGCTCGCTCGTATAATCACTTGGGGCGTAGAACGATCGGAGATAGACCGTTGTTACTTCGAAATGGCTCGACGCGTGAGGGGGGCGATAGATCAGAGGGCGCGAAGGGTTGGAGCCAGGGATGGTGGTGTGGTCCAGAATTTCTGAACTCAGCAGACGGAACACTGGGATTTTGTGGTATTTGGTGATCCGTCTCAGAAGTGCCAATTGATCGAACGTATTCCTCTCGCCCTCCTGGACCACAAATAGAATGCAAGTCGGGAGAGACCTGCATTTGGACGCCCCGTAGGCGGCATGTGCAGCTGCCAATCCCGCAGATAGCGTCTCGACCGCCGTATTCTCAGGAGGCTTATTGGACTTGAATAACCTGTGAGACGGGTATGCGATTGGGTAACCCGGCGGGGAATCCAGGAGCTCGGTGTGCAGCTGGGTCACGAGAGACGATAAACCGCCAAAGGAGGCCGAGATGGTGTTGAACTCCACCTGCTTCAAGGAGGGCGCAACCGAGCTGGACGGAGTATGCGCCATGTAATCCGAGCGGAAAAGGCCGAGCGACAACGTTTGAACATACCCCTCCTTCTTGACTGCCAGATGCGTCTTCCACAAATGCGAAACGAAGTCGTCCACATCAATAAGACTACAGGTCAAAAGAAGTGTTTAGTCATGACATCTCGGCACTCTCGCTATGACTTGTTCTAGCTAAGCCACACAATAAAAAAACGACGTAGTTTCGGAATGGTCTCTTACTCTTCCATGATCTTGCCCAGCCACTCCTCGTTGCACGTTATCATCGCATAGAGGTGGTTGTACACGGTCTGCAAGGCCCTGGCCTCATCGAAGCAAGCTCTGGGGAAGGGACTTGGGAATAGGGTGACGGGAGCATTGGTCGCAAGAACCCCATGGGGATTGACCTCCTTGGATACAAAAGTGGGTGCCGGGCGAACCATGAGGCCATTCTGCGTGGTCCAGTCCTTAATGGTGGTCACCAAGAACTCCCTCTGGGCGGAGTTCAAGGGAGGGGGGTAATTGGCGTAGATCGAGTCGCCCATGATGGATTGTCGTACGGAGACTAGGAGGGGAGACGGAGGGGGCCAGAGAGAAGCAGAAGCGACATTCTCGATCGATTAATTCCGTTCCATCGGACTTCCGTTCATATCGGCGATTAATAATGGAGGGGTCAACAATTATCGGCCGCCCTCGTCCATCACCGCCCTGGCCACCGCTTGACAGTGACGGCAGAAATTGGGTGTTTGACAGCGTTTGCTCGGCCTCTTCCCTGTCTTTTCTTTCCCCCAATCTCCTGCTTTCCGGACGCGTGGCAGCTGGCGTCGCGCGCACCGTGACTGTCCCAGGAAGACCAGGGGATTCGAGGGTTGTCTCCGACATCTGATACGCGTGTTACCTCTTCCATACAGTATCTCGCATATCGGACTGGTTAAGTCCACCTGAACTTAACCTCACCCACCCTCGTTCGTCGCATCTACTGCGCGTACTCTTCAGAGCTCGTTCTCATCTAGATGTAGTGTGCAACGACAATCTCGAAGCTTGCTCTCCTATCTTGCTCTCCTATAGCTCACATTTGATCAATTCAGACTAATATCACCGCTCCATGACCTCACAGTAAGCTTTCTTCTAGATCCTCCACTGCGAGAAAAGTCCCCGGTCTAATGTCCGATTAGACAACATGCAGGTTGATACCCCCGATCCTCTAGACTGGACAGTCGATGAAGTAGTCAACTTCCTCTGTCACAACTCCGACCAACCATGGTCTCGGTCAGCTACCGGTGGCCCTAGGCCTGATCCCACTTCCTTCGAAACTGCTCTACGTGATAATTTCGTGACGGGTGAGGTGCTTTTGCACGATGTACATAAAACCGAACTACGAGAGGACTTAGGTCTAAAAACCCTCGGCCATGTGAGTTCTATGCTCAGAGCCATTCGCTATTTGCAAGACAACTCCCTCAAATTTAAAGGCAGCAGGGGGTACCCTCATTCTCTCGAGGACCGGCAGAGTGACCAGTTCTCAACGCCGTTTTCTCCCATGGGAGTGGCTCCTCATTTGTCTTCTACTGTGCGCCCTGAGAGTGGTCATACTCCTAGGGACATCACTCCGATCCGTGTGGACTCGCGAACGCACATTCTGGCGATGTCACCTTCCGCTCGCATCAAGCCTCATAATCGAGAGGCAGCTTTGACCAACTCGCCGGCCAAAAATCAAGTTACTATTCCACCAGAACCTACTCCCAATCCCGTACTGGAACCGCGCCAGACTCCTGTCGCTGAGCCGGATTTGAGTCTGGTGAAACGCGGCGAGGCCTCGAATCCCAGTCTGTACGCTCAATCACGTGGACACATCACCGTCGATAGCTCAGGCAAAAAGCGGCTCAGGCTAGACCCCCAATCTTCGGCTAAGGTTCAGGATCATAAGCAAAGTTCCAACGCCGCGGATGCCCAGGATGGTAAGGTGTGGTACATGGGGCCAGAACGCATCTCACATTCTGACGTTTTCTACTCACCTGGCTTGGATGACAATGTCCGATCATTCATGATGCTAGGCTCAGAAGTTCCAACGGCAAAGCGTCACTTTGTGAACAAAAGCCTAAGCCATTTCTATCAGCAACCGCCAATCAAGCTCACCTCAGGCAAAAACGGAAAGGACCCCACTCAATGGGCCGTGACACCTTACAGTAGCAAGATGGTTAATGCAGATAACCCAAAGCTTTTTACCTTGTATACATCTGATAAGGGAAAGGTTACTGTGAGAAAAGAGCAGATGAATAATTGGCCCCAGTTCAATACTTTGAAGCCTAAGTCTCACAATGACTCAACGGAAATGACGGACCGCCATGACCCCTACGCACGTCTCCTTCAGAGATACCCACCTCAAGAAGATCAGGACATATTTCCTTTGTATGGTGACTCGGGATCTGAGGGTGAATACGATGAAGCGATATTGCAGGAAATGCAAGACGAGCAGCAAGAAACAGTACCGTATCAACTGACACAAAACGAAATGCGTGGCATCATTGCGGATTGCATCTCTGACTATAAAGCAAAGTGGCGCCAGAATGGCCAGGAGAAGGAACAAGCAAAAGTCCAAAAACTGTGGTTAACAGCAAGGAGAACCAAAAGCACCAACCAGAAAATCAAGGCTCTAAACCACGAGACGATCCTTCTGGGGAAGCGCTTGGAGAAGTTGCAGGAGCACATTTGTGATAGCACGTATTCTGCACGGGCCGAGCTGAGTGACCAATGTCAAAGCATGGAACAAACAGTCATGGATATAGAGAAGAGCAAATGGCGCGCGGCGATTCTTGAACAGGAGACCTGTCCCCCAAAGACATCCACCCCTCCTCGGCGCCCATATGCCTTCAAACCGCGACGAAATCTTGAGGACGAGGAATCTCTTCAGTCCGACTCCGACTACTTGACCAGCGACAATTCGTACGATTTCATTGATGACACATCTGCCGTGGGCGAGGCTTCTCGTGAAGAAGACATTCCAATGACGACACCCTCGACCTCTGACAGTGACGACGATATCATCAGCCCTTCGGGAACCCGTCGGAACTCAAGGAAACTCAGAAGACTCCCTTTTCGCGAATCCAGCTCTCCTATACCTAGCCCAAAACACGATGCAATGGCTTCAGTCATTGATCTGACAGTAGAGTCGCCCCCTCCCGAGGACTTGAAGATTGAAACACCCCCCTTGAATCCCGTTCAACTAGTGGTTGCAAAGTCCCATGAGGACCCTTTTGTTACTAATAGAACGAGTCCTTCAATTTCCCCGGAGCCTCGACTCGGTCAAAATATAAGCGTTGAAATACCCGTCAAGGCAATCGACCCGCCTAGAGACCCCCAAAGCAGGACGCCTCCGTTTAACGACCTTAAAGGGATCAAGCAGATGTCGTGGGAACTGCTTGAAGAGCGCAAAGACCGTGGCAGGCTACTCATAAAATTACTATGCAGTTTACCTGACGGTGAAAGAGAGAACTTGGCCGACACCATCCCCAAATCTAACCAAGAAAGGCTGAGAGAAAACATCTCGATCGCTCTCAAAAGGTTTCTGCAGGGACAAGAATGTATGCCTAACCTGGAAGAATCCGAAAGCAAGACTATTATGCGAACTGCATCGCTTTACATATCTTGGGTAAACTGTACTCATCTTCAGCGGAAAAAAGGCATTCCAAAACATCTTGTAGAAAACACACAAGAAGATCTTCCTCAAGGATTTTCCCAGTTTTTCGAGGAACTTACCAAGCGTCTCCGATTTCCTTTTTCCCCATGGCGGCATTCACCCAACTTTCCCGGAGACTCCCGTGAATTTCAACAGTCCAAGAAGCATATAAGTGCAATCGATCGTTTGGAGCAGCAGGATGCAAATCAAATGGCGACACCGCATAAGAAGAGAAAAAGAGAGATCAAGGAAAGCCAGGCCGTGAAATCGAACCAGCAAAGCGCACGAATGCGTGTTCAGCTCAACGAGGAACAAAAAAGGAAACTTGAACAGAAGATGGAGAGCATGGGAGTAAGCAATAACGATCCGGCACACCAAGCCGTCAGCTTTAGAGAACCCATCATCTACCTGGACCCGCACATTGGCAGTCGTGTCATGCCTCATCAACTAAGTGGCATTCAATTCATGTGGCGAGAGTTGTTGGAGGATGAGAAGGGGCAAGGCTGTCTTCTGGCACACACCATGGGCCTGGGGAAAACAATGCAAGTTATATCTCTTCTAGCAACCATTTCTGCCGCCGCTTCTTCAAATGCCTCCGACGTTCGTCAACAAGTTCCTCCTGATATAAGAGAGTCAAAAACCCTCGTTCTCTCCCCAGTCACATTGATTGAAAATTGGTACGAGGAGTTTATAATGTGGTGCCCTCCAGATTCGCCCATCGGCCCGTTGAGAAAAGTCACAAGCTCGACTGCAGTTGAGGAGAGATTTCAGACCTTGGTAGACTGGGATGCTGAGGGTGGAGTACTGATAATGGGCTATGAGCTCTTCCGGTCTTGGGTTCTCAACAAAAAGTCTGTCAAGAGAGACAAGTCAACTATATCCGATGAGGACCACCATAAGGTCCGGACAATGCTCTTGGAAGGCCCCAATATTGTTGTCGCCGATGAAGCCCATAAGATGAAAAATGCGAGTAGCGGAATCGCCCGAGCTACCATGCAATTCCGCACCACAAGACGCATCGCGCTGACTGGCTCGCCTTTGGCCAACAATCTGGTTGATTATTATACCATGGTCAACTGGATTGCAAAGGACTATCTGGGCGAGTTCGTAGAGTTCAAGGCCAATTTTGTGGAGCCTATAGAAGAAGGCCTCTACGCAGATAGCACTCGCTGGGAGAGGCGCCGATCCCTCATCAAGCTCAAGGCTCTCAACAACAATCTTGAACCTAAACTCAATCGCGCAGATATCACTGTACTCGAAGGAAGTCTACCACCAAAAACCGAATTTGTCCTTACCATTCCTTTGACCCCACTCCAGAAGGCTGCATATGATCTGTATGTCGAGAGCACTCTTGAGGGAGCAAATGAGTGCGTTCAAAACACGAACGTTTGGTCTTGGCTTGCAGTCTTGAGTTTGTGCAACAACCACCCGGCATGCTTCAGACAAAAGCTACTTGACCGGGCCCGTGATGTTCAAAACCCAGATGAGGAGCCCGAAGGATCTCCGGAAGCTGAACAAATCCCTGAAGCTCCCCTCCCTTATGCAGACAACTTTATGTCTAAACAAAAGAAGCTGTTTGCTACCATTTCGGACATGAACGCTCTGGAGCTATCATATCGGGCGCAGATCTTGGACAGGATAATCACCGAGTCATTCAACGCTGGCGACAAGTTACTTGTCTTCTCCCATAGCATACCAACGCTCGACTACATCGAGCGCATGTTGAAGATGACCGGAAGAAAATATCGTCGCCTAGATGGACAAACACCTATTCAAAGCCGCCAAACTGCAACTAAAAATTTCAATCACGGCTCGGAGGAATATGTCTACTTGATCTCAACACGCGCGGGAGGATTAGGTCTCAATATCCCTGGCGCAAACCGCGTTGTGATATTCGATTTCGGATTCAGCCCAATGTGGGAGCAGCAGGCCGTTGGCCGTGTTTATCGCCTTGGTCAGAAAAAGCCGGTCTTTATATACCGCTTCATCGCCGGTGGCACTTTTGAGGAAATGATATACAACAGGGCAATGTTCAAGACGCAGCTTGCGTTTCGCGTTGTTGACAAGAAAAACCCTATTCGTGCAGCGACCAAGCCCATGAAAGGGTATCTTTTCCCAGTCAAGGCAGTCCCCGAGACTGATACCAGCGAATTCCTCGGCAAAGACCCTCAGGTTCTAGACAAAATCTTGAATGATAAAGATACCTATCCGATCCGCAAGATCACTCTCACAAAAACCCTCGAAAGAGATGACAATGACAAGTTGTCCTTGGAGGAGGAACAACGTGTCCAGGAAGAAATAAACGACATGACTCTCAGACGTACCAACCCTGTCGCATACCAGAGACTGCTGGAAGAAAGGCAAAGGCCATACCTGGCTGCAGCCAGAGCCGACGCAGCTGCGAGCCCATACACCTCATATTCCACGCCTTACCCACAACCCAACATGCCGTCCGCATCCATCCCCTACAATTCCCCCAACGTTGGCCTTTATCAACCACAACAGCAGCAGTGGCAGTATGAGCAGGGACAATACCATCAGGGACAGTATGAGCAAGGGCAGTTTGATCAAGGACAATATTTGCCGCAATATCAGCAGCAGCCGTTACCGCTGCCCGCTCCACGTGTTGTCCCTTCCAACGCACATAACGATGGTCCTCCTCCTTTGGCCCCCGACATGATTTCTTACAACGACTGAGACCACATATGGCTCTTGCATCTCTTTGAATCTAGCCTCGTGCAGTTTTTCTTTTCTTTTATGTATTAACTTTCCTTATCTTTTATCTTCTCATATCTATGTTATTGAGCGGGCTTGTCTCTATTTTTTTTTCTCCCACGGCAAAATTCCCCTGGATAGGCTTTCATTTTATTTCAGGTTTTTTATTTCTTCGCTCCCTTATCTCGGTGGATATCTCGCTCTAGCTTGTTTTCGGTTCCCCCTTTCTCTTTATTCTTTCTTTTCTCTTGTACACAAGCATTCCTAGGCGCCCGTTTAGTACGTATATGCGAGCATACCTACGTACATATTTTTACATAATGATTATGAATGCATGAGAAGCGAATTGAATTCCTACATAAATTAAACTACTTCTACGCCAAGTAAAATCTCAGTCTACAGTTTGAAAAGGTTCGGAACAGTAGGAAGAAGTATAATAGATCCACGAAAAATGAGGCAAATCTGACCAGCAGCATCGCCATCTTAAATCCCAACAAAGAAAGGTGCTGAGAGCAGGGCCCGAAATACCTGACTGCCCCCTATCTCGAAAGATCAGAAGATCATCTATCTAACTAAGGGAAGACTCGTGCGAATACTCCTTTCAGTCGAACGTCAACGCCGTAGCCGGACCAGGAGACGGAACGGCTAGATTCCGAGAAAATAGGTACGAGAAAACAGGAGATGAGAGAAAGCCGAGCTCCCAAAAGTTGAGGACCTTGATCAAGTGAGAAGCTTTTCGAGATCAGCAACACGAGTGGCTCTCTCATCGGCCTTCTTCTTGGTAGCGGTCTCGCGGAATGCCTCCAGCATCAGCTTACGCTTCGTCTCCTGGACCGCGAGGACTCGGTCCTCGATACTGTTTTCCATGACAAGGCGCCATACGGTCGTTTCGCGCATCTGTCCTAGACGGTATACTCGGTCGACGGCTTGATCTTCGATGGCTGGGGCCCACCAACTGTCGGCAAGGATGGCTTGGTTGGCGGCGACTAGGTTGAGGCCGACGCCGCAGACACTGAGACTGGCAAGAAGAACTGTGCAGTTGGGGTCACGCGAAAAGCGGTACGTTGAGTTGTCACGGCTGACAGAGCTCATTCTACCGTCAATGCGAGCGAATCCGATGCCATGGCGCTCCAAGTGAGGCTGGACGAGATCGAGGAACGATGTCCACTGACTAAACACGACGGTCTTGGTACCGGCAGCCTGCCCTTGGGCCGTCAAGATCTTGACAAGGGCTTCGATCTTGCTGCTTGGGTTGTCTGGGTCTGCAGAAACACTGTCATTGTTCTCGCCCATCTCGGCAGCAGGAGACACCAGGGTGGTTGTGTCTCCAATTTCGGCTCGGCACATAGGGCATTTGTGCTGTCTGTCGATCACTTGTTCGATACACTCTCGATCAAATGAATGACCGCATGCGGTAATCACAGGTTCTGCGAGGGTATCTAGGCAGATCGGACAAGTCTCCTGGCTCTCAATTCTGACTTGCAGCATGTCCTGGAGAGCCTTGATGTTCTCCGGAGTAAGTGGAACCACCTTTTCCTTCTCCAGTAGTGCGGTGATGCTATCAATGCGTTTTTTACAGAGTGCCCAATGGTTGCATACTTGTCGGAGCCGCAGAATAACCTCAAGAAGATTGGAGTATGTGGTACCGGCCTTTTCTTTGGATTTGATATCCAGAAGCATGCCCTTTGCCTCGGCTCTGTGTGAACTGTTAGCATACCAGCATCATAGCTGTGAGCGATTTGTACGTACTGAAACATGTTGTATTTCTCTTCTTCATGGGGGTGGAACTTGACTCGCAGAACACGAGATGTGAGAGGTGGCAAACGCAGATTGACGAATTCCATGTCCTTTCTGCGACGTAGGCAAATGGTACACATCAGTGTTTGCAGTAGTAAGCGTGCGTTAGGATCGTCAGACATGAGAGGCCGAATCAAAACGCTATTGAAGACCGCCATGTCCTCTAGACCACCGGTAAGCCCCAGAAAGCGAACTTGAGAAAAGAGATCCTTGAGACTGTTCACAATAGGAGTTCCAGTCAACGACCAGCGGGAATCGGCACGCAAGTTACAGGCGGCGAGAGCACCTTTGGATCTTGGGTTGCGCACTGTATGACCTTCATCGAGAACAATTCGACGCCAGTAGACAGAAAAAATGCCTTGTTTGGGGGGCGCCTTGGCCTGGGGGTTGTATTCCATTGCAAGTGCACCATAGCTGGTGACAACCAAGTCGTATTGGTCCAGATTCTTCGCTTCCTTCTTTCCTGCACCATGGTACACATGCACGCGCGGGGTGTTCTCGCTATGGGTATGTTCCTGGATTTGGTTTTTCCAATTGCTCATGACCCCTACAGGGGCCACAATCAGAGTGCATTTGGAACCCCCAGCTGTCTTTGGTTGAGAATTCGCCAGTATCAAGGAAATGATCTGTATTGTCTTTCCAAGACCCATATCGTCCGCCAAAATACCACCACTCGCAAGAGGAGGTGCAGTGGATGTGGAATAGTTGGTGGCAAGATTGGTGTAATTAGAGCCTTTCCTCTTCCACAATTGCACCACATCCTCAGATCCAGGGCCGGGTAGGCTAGGATTTTCTTTGCTGATCATCCAAGCCAGTCCCTGACGTTGATAGGGGAGTAATTCTGTTGAAAGGGCAGCGGGAGTATCCACCATAGGCATATTTGCCAAATCAGACTCGTTCATGCCAAAGCTTTCAGTCACTTTACCAATCTCACGAGGATTGAAAGTGCTACTTTGGCCAATAAGGTCTTCAAGATTCTCCCCTTCCTGAAGGCCCTCCCCGCTAAAGAGGTTGGCATACAAGGAGTTCTCGCCGGCCTCCCACTGGGCTCCTTTGCCGCCTCCGAGAGCACGAGCTTTTTTCTGGGCTTCCTTTCGCGCCTTTTCGTGTTCCTTTTGGAGGGCACGCTCATCGCGCTCCTGTTGTCTGAGGCTACCCAAGGGCAGCCTATCGGCCGTCATTCTCTGCTTTAGTTCTTCTCTTTTTTGTGGATCAGTCGGACCGAACAATCGCAGAGAAATGGGACAATCATAAGCCCCAATGCTGCCTGTCAGCGAGCCCTCAATGATCAGCGACTTAGAGTCCTGTATGGAGATGATTAATGATGGCGCCATAGGTGAAAAGACTCTTGCCGGGAATGCCTACCATGTATCCCGCCAACTTAGACGCCATGAAGCGAGGAATATGGCCGATTTGGGCTCCCATGACATTCAGCACTTGGATAGCGTTCCGGTCATACGGGTTCTGTGGCTCTCGTTTCAAGATGACATGCTCTCCAATAGTAGCATATCCATTGTAGAAACGCACACCGACAATCTTTGAGGGCATCTCACCATACAGCATGGAGTTGTTAGACATTGCATCATCCACTCCTTGAGTGCCCATAATCTGATCCGCAGCATGCTCGTCATCTTCATCGTCGGCCGCATAATTTTGCGATGATTGACTCAGGGGTACGAAGGCCGTGTCTTGCCCCAATCGCTGCCCACTGACTGCGCGCGGGTGCTTGGGAGTGTGTCCTGGGGTAGAACTCCCATCATCACTCAAGGTGAGATCAACCTGGTCTATGTTGCGCTTCCCTGAAGGTCGACCCATGATGGCGCATTTAAGGAGGACAATTTCGATGACAGCAAAGCAAAGAACAGAAGAAATGGAATTGTCCAGGGGAGGAAGAGAGAGTCGATAGATCAAACGGAGGAACCACTTGCGATGCGGCATCCATGACCGGACAGATAGCGCTATCCCCCATGGGGACTGGTGTGACACGCTAGATCACGCTTACACGTGATGTCCCGTGATGTATCTCATGTAAACAGATATGATGTCATTTATCGCGCGTTCTTCTACAATGTTTGGATTCTGGCTGGAATTTTTGATTTCTAGGGACAAACAGCCTAATGAAGAATTTTCATATTGACTATCTGGATATGAATCTTTCCAAGAGAGGGTAATCAATCTTCCCAAATGCCTATGATGTTGAGTATTCAAGGCCTCCCCGCTAATTTTTGAAAGACTCGCGGGTATTCACCCGATCAATGTCATATGGATTGGCGTCATACAGAGCCTCGGTTCCCGCTGTCTCCTTATGCGACTTTATAGATTCTTTAGACCGTATGCGGTCAAGGCTTGAACGCGAGTATGACGACGCACGGTCCTTTCCTCCCACATCCGGCGTTGATCCCATGGCCACCGAAGTTTGACCCGAGGGCACTTCATCCACGACAGCTGTAGGGGCCGTTTCTTTCTCCGGCTCGGTAGGAGGTAATTCTTTTGCCACTTCCATTAGTTTCTTCATGAAAGCATCGGATTCGGCGGCATATTTGCATCGTGCCCTGATCGCCGGGCCGTACTTGTAAAATAGAAACGGGAAGGGTGCGCAAGCGACAGCCAAGAATGCAGGGATGCAAGATGCCCAATGTACACCCAAGTTCCTATACATATAGGTGGTGAAGAGGGGAAATGCTGCGGCGAACAGCGAGCGCAAAACCGCACTGGCCGCCAGTACCGAAGCCGCAAATATGGTATAGGCATCGATCAGATAATTCATCAGACTCAGAAAGACCAAGACCATGCCAAAACCAAACGGCGCCCCAGCCGCAATACTGGCCATCCAATGAACCGAGGGGCCATTGGACCAGGCAAACCAGAACAGGCCAATAGGTATAGCAATAGCCGCCATCATGCACGGGGTGAGACGCGACTCGGGCGGCGCAAACCCTCTATTGGCTGCCGCAATCTTGATGTAGCGTTTGTTGTCATAGATGTTATAGATCACGGCAACTATCATACCAACCATGATCCCCAGAAATGCTAGCCCAGATACCCCCTGGTTCCAGCCCCGTTGTTGTTTGTAGACAATTGGGAAAGCCGCAAACATCATAAACAATGTTCCATAGATGATAGCCTGCTAATTTGTTAGGTTTCGCAAGACAGTGTTTACGAGGGATGTGATTCGAGGTAGCACCAACCATGTATATAGATAGCAAGATAACTATTGGCTCTCGGAAGAGGAGAAGCCACGGACGGGATAGTGCGGTCTTGAAGGCCTGGGTAACCGTTTGCCTGCCTTGATCTGCTTCAATTTTGCTTTTGTAAACCTTTCCTGTCGTCTTGGAGAGATTCTCCGCGCGTCGCCGGAGGAGCACCGGGGCGTAGGTTTCAGGCACACACAAACAACAAAAGATCCATAGCACGCCCGAAAATATGGCCAGGAACCCCATCACCCACTTCCACCCCGAGTTCATGCCAAGGAAGCCGCCAATTATCGGCCCCAACACGGGTCCCAGGAACGGGGCCGCGGCAAAGATACTCATAGCTAGCCCACGATGGCTGGCAGGGAACAGGTCCGCTATCACACCGCCGGCGTTGGTGAGCGGGGATGACCCAAAGGCACCGGCGAAGAAGCGAAATATAATCAGGGACTCGATATTCTTGGCCCCGGCAGTAGCAGCGTTGAACACTGTCAACCCGCAGTAGCTGACTGCAAAGAGGTATTGTCGGCCCCAGAGCTCACTCATGGGCGCCCAAAAGAGTGGCCCGATAGCGAAACCTGCCACGAAGAGCGACACTCCTAATGTAGCCACCGTTGTGCCGACCTCAAAGTCTGCTATTATTTGTTCGATGCCACCTGTATAGGCAGAGGAGGTACATGATACCGCCAACGTTGCGAAGGCCATGGACATTGTGTAGAACCACTTCGTTTTCGCGGGAGCGTTCATAGGGTTTCTGGGATCATCTGGAATCCAAGTGACGATATAGGGGTCATCTTCCGTGCCGGACCCGGGGTATTGATAGCCGCATATCTCTTGCGTGAGAACGCCTTGATCGGTGATGAGGCGCCAATGGGGAATGCGAGTAGGCTTGACAGCCTCGCCCGCCACAGACGAGCTCATACGGGTTTTCGTAGGAGGGCAACTTTTGAAATTACAGTAAATCTCGTATATTGTTGATCTTTGCGTGCCGTCTATCCGTTGATGCTTTCGTGTCTGATTTGCGCGCTATGAGCGAAGGACCTTTCGAGGTTCCCAGGAACGAAAAGGGGGAAATTTGACTGCTCTGCGCGGCAATGCGATACAAAAGAAATAAATTAAATTGGTAGATGGTTTAGAAGGGCAGTAAAAAGGAGAGCGGAGAAGAGAAATAGAAAGTTGAGCGGCTATCCGTTCTGTATGTAGCTTGGATCTGTACACGGAGAAGCAATGCTCCGTAAGCACCAGAACATGTGGAGTATGAGCTGATACCTTTCCTCTCGACGGCATGACCTAACGGAGTTAAAGGCATAGACAGGCATTTCAATCCCCGGAGAAAAGGCTGAAGGATTGTGCCCCCAGTACGGACATAAAAATTTATAGCATAATTCCGAGCGAAAGGAAAAGGCGATTGGTTGCAATGCTCAGGGATCGGCTGAAAGATGCCGATTGCAGGGTTCATGTTGACCATTTAGCAAGAGACCTTCGTATTGCAATTTTCCTGGTAGTGTCGACGAGAGGAGAAAGGCAATGACTGCGACTGCGGGGGTTTCCCCGCCGGATGAATGCGACCATTGTTCAAGTGGAACTGCAATCCGCAGAGTGCGGAGGACTCTTTTATCGCCGATGGACCCCTAGCTGCTAGCTTCGACGACAGCTGATTGTCAGTACCACGATGTTTTGATGGTGCGACGTTAGTGCTGACTTATGACGATGTCTGGATATCATGGTAAGTGATGATATACATCAATATAGAAACAATCAACGCCAGCGGGTGACACCACAGATAGATGCCACGAGTTTGTGATACTCGAAGACGAGGAGGTGCCAGTTGTGCAGTCACAAGTCTTAATAATCCATGGTCAGTTATGCATGCATTGGCGATCCTCGCCCCAGATTGACGTCAATCTTCTGCCAACAAAACATGCAAGTGAACCAATGTTTCAACAGCAATCGCATTGACTACCGTTCGTTTAGCTATTCTTAGTTTCCTTCCCATGGCTGATCCTCTTCCTTCATCTTACCTCCACATCCTCCGCAGTCGTCGCGTTCAGTTCGAATCCCTCATTGATCATGGGCACGTGAAACCAGTCCTACTGTGGCATCTGGTTGCTTTCTTTCTAGTGCTTCCGGCCTCTTCACTTCTAATTCCTCGTTCAACTCGGGCTTGTTATTTGCGTCCCCTGATCCTAGTTCTTCATCTCGGCATCTCGGTCGAGACCCTCCAGTCTCGACGCACTCTGCTCGGTGCCAATGGGTATATTGTAGGGCTGATTGTCGCCTGGTGGTCAATATGGGTGATGACTCTGTTAGTCTTTCACGATGCCGAACGTGACTTCCGACGCATCGAGCGCAGGCCATTGGGGAAAGGAAATAGTCAAGAAGAGTCGGTCAGTGAGCGCTCAAAGCAGCATATTATTCGAAACCCAGGAGCCCAGAATGCGAAACCCCAACGGCCACCGAACGAGGAGTATCCTGAGCCCCTCGCATGGCAGACATATCCTCGCTCATGGTCGCATCGTTTCAATTGGGTTATGGGTCTGTTGCTCAATCTGCGAGGCCCCGAGTGGAACTGGCGCATTTCAAGTGTCGGTCCTTTTCCTGCCTCGATAAGAACACAGCTCCACCCGAAACATCGACAATCGCGAAGCCAGGAACAGCGCAAGAAACCCCCTAATTATAGTGATGGTCGGGCTCGCATCCGTGCAGTGGCTTTCGGCTTTCTAAATGCATACCTGGCCCTGGACGCAATCAAAGTACTGATGATGCGCGATCCCTATTTCTGGGGCATCGTTTCTTTATCGCATTCGCCACCGCCACCCCCGATTAGCTACATCTTACCCCCCATTCCTGGCTTGTTTTGCGTCTACCGACTCGCTCTTTCCGGAATTGGGATTTATGCAGCCCTTGATTTCGTTACCGCTCTGAACCCTCTTTTCTTCTTGGGACTCTCCTGCGCATTTCCCAATGCCTCCCGCGCTCTCACGGCTGTCCCGTTGGACGCTCCCTGGCTATATCCAGAAGCCTTCGGCCCCTTCCTAGCCTCCGTCCTAGACCACGGCCTCGCTGGGTGCTGGAGTCGGTGGTGGCATCAACTCTTCAGATTTGGTTTTCTCTCGACCGCCCAGTGGCTAATCTCGTGGCTGCCGCGGCGACTAGCTTCCCATGCTGGTATCCGTCGATTCCTTCTGACCTTAATCGTCTTTAGCCTGAGCGGTTTGATCCACGCCAGCGGGAGCTACACTCAGTTCGAAGAAACGCGGCCCTTGTCCGGCACATTCCTCTTCTTTCTTTTGCAGGGGGCAGGTCTCTTAATCCAGGACTTGGCTTCTAGGATTTTGCCATCAAAGTCACTTCCTCGTTGGCTTTGTCGGACGGCAAATGCGTCATTCGCGTTCGGGTGGCTCGTCTTCTCAGGTGGCTATATTGCGGACGATTTCTCGAAAGGGGGTCTCTGGTTGACGGAGCCGTTGCCGCTCAGTCTGTTGCGCGGGTTAGGATTAGGGCTGGGCGTCGAGGGCGAGGGTTGGTGGTGCTGGAGTGAACCGTGGTTCAAGTGGTGGGATGATGGAACATACTGGGGACGAGGGGTGCGGTTAATGTGATGCATCGGGTGTTTCTGTTTATCAGTTTGGAGTTGGAATATTTCGGCATTTTGGATTCGCTTCTGGTTACACAGGCATGGTTGATGGATTTGGATCACTGCATACTTCACTTTTGGATTCTCATTGGTATTTATGGTCAGATAGAAATTATACATAGAATCATCGATAGTATATAGATCGGCCTGTATTTTAAGTCGATATTTTTTCTTAATCATACAGAGCGTAGAGTTTTAGGACTCGCCCATCGTTACGTCCTCCTCTTCCTCGTCATCCGTGTCCGGGTCCATGTTGAGGGTTGGCAGTTCGTCATCGCTCTCGTCATCGCCTGCTTCGGCCTTTGCCGCCGAAGCCATAGGCTGCGATACTGTTGTACCGGACAATGGACCTCCAGCGGTCGCTTTAGATGATGTATTGACGCTGGCGGTCTGCGCGGGCGGAGCCTGGGTGAATGTGGCTGACGAAGTAGGAACGGGGATAGCTGCGGTGCCTGTAAAGGTATCGGGCGATACTCTGGTCACGGAAGGCTGGCTCGGAGCGGCGGCCACGACCTCATTTTCAACCCGCGGCCTCTTGGTTTGCCCATTTGCTTGTCCCGTCTTGCCAGCGTTAGATTGGGTCGTGAGAGTCTGGGGTTGATCTTCGCCGTGGCTTCGCTTGTTGAGAGATGGCACGGTCGGCTGTGTTTCTTGGATGTCCATCAGATCATTCTGAAGGATTGGGGTGGCGGACTGCTTCAGGAATCCTGTATTCACAGGTGCTGCGTGCGGCGCAGAAGCTGGCACAGTCACATCATCTTCATCCTCTTCGTCTTCGTCGATGTGAACATATCCACCAAGGCCGGATGATGCGTTCGTAAGAACGGGCATTCTGGGCCTGATGAGTCCTTCCACCTCCATTTGTGCGGCATAGCCTCGAGCCAAGAATGGGATGATGCTGGCGCCCATTCCACGGCCCTTCACAGGTGGAACGGGGTTGAGAACACTCGCAAACATCCCGTTCTTATCAGATGTCATGATGATCGTCCGGTCGATTTCGGCCCGCAATGACGGAGCGAGGTATTCAGTGGGCACATTAGCGAGCAGGGCAGGAATTAATTCCGAGGCAGCTCGTTTGAGATCAGGGAATGATGACGATGGGCTCAATTGACGACCGGATTTTAGTCCAGGGTTCAAGAATGAATCGGCATTGGCCATGACTTGATTCGTCTTGGTTTTAGCCTTCATATCAGCAGAGAGTTTGGCCGATGGACTTTCATCGCCCACAGGGGGCAAGAGATCGCAACAGCAGGTATGGATTAGGTTGGTTAGAGAAGATACGCTTTGTTTCGTCAATGACGGGCCCATATGCATAAACAAGGCGCGGGTCAAATCGTATATAGCGGCCCGAGCCTCCCGGCTATACTTTTCGGCTCGGAAGACCCAAAGCGCCTGTTCGAGCATCGTCTGTCCTACCGGAACAGCGCCGGTTTCCAATCTCTTCACAAAGGTAACAAGCAGGTTGAAACATGCGGTATGAATGCGAGGGAGCTCGGCAAATAGGGTTTCTCTTTCCGCGCGACCAATCTGAGGATTAGTCTGGACCTCGACTCCATTTGCCGGGACAGTCACCGAAGTCAGTCGCGAGGTCAAGTCCAGGATGGATCCAATGGGGATGGACACGGTCGATGCCGAGGGAGTGTTCAGAAAAGTCGATAGCATTCGCAGCAACACAACGAGTCTATCCACGCCCGGCCCAATTCCCTGCCATCTTGGAAGTCCCAAGGGATCTGGGCCCAGATCGCACACCTCTTGGGTATAATCTTGCGGTCCCGCATTCTTCCGCATTGACGGGTCAGTGGACTCCCATTGCTCGACCACAGCTCGAAAGACGTAATGCGCGGTTCCATGAAGAGAAGCAATTGTCATGTGGCACGCATTCTTCCATTCCTCTCCGGACGTATTCTTGGGGGCACAGTTATGAAGCAAGACGAACAATCGCTCAGCTAGCGCCACCACTGATTCGGGGAACGTAGGCGAGGTCGACCCGATGATTGTCTGCAGAAGACTATGAATCTGGGCCGAGAATGGGCGGAAGATAGTGGGATGCCGGCCGATCAACTCTCCAAACGCATGCAGGACGATCTCCAGGAAGGGCGTTGCATTGGGCTTCAGCGTTCTGATCGGTTCGGAAGAGGGCTTGACAGAAATCAGGTTCAGAGCCGAGGTGACGAACCCTGGTAGAGAAGGCGTGGTGATTTCGCGCACGAGGGTAGGATACTGGTAGGTCAGGTGGAAAATTCGGGTCAAGGTGATGACGGCCATTTTCTTGGTCGAGGTAGGGTCGGCTTTCTGCTCCAGCAATTGAGTCAGCAATCGTCCAGTTTCCAACACAGGGCCTACAGTCTCCGTCTGCAATTGATCAAGTGCGTACCGTCAGAATCGCCATAAGACCACGAACGAATGGCTCGCATCCTCGCAGGATTTCCCATTGACCCGCCTCCACCACGGTCTTCACGAGCACCACGGCGGTCCATCGGCCTTCTGGGGTTCGATCTTGCAGCAAGCTTGCCAATCTGGTCATCAATTTATGCACTTGCACCGCATCGTCCGAGTCCGACTTGGCCGACTTTTGCTGCTGAGGGGAAGAGAGTAGCTCCCCGCAATTGCTCAAGGATGTCGCCAGGCATGATGCGAGGGGAGGCAGCTGTTTGACGGGGATATTTGTCAATCGATGGTTGACGGCATGAAGGGACATTGACAAGGATGCCATTATCGCAGGACCGGACGGTGTAGACAATGCGAGGAATGCGATGCGAAGAAATAAAATTATTTTAATAAAAAGGCGGCAGAAAAAGCCGGCGCTTGGACCACATGAAGCCGCGGTACGGTACGTAACCGGGTAACAATACAGTCGTTACGACGTCCCCCTGGCGAAGGACCGAAGATCACCGCCGTCACTTGGTAACCTTCGCTCATTATTTTGTCCCGCCCAATCTTTTAGTTCCTGTTTCTACCGGAGCCTCGGGGTGGGCATGTGTTATGGATGCTTTTCCTATGATTGCCCTCCCCCTTTTTCAATCGTCTTTCTTTCATCTCTGACCTCCCCTTAATCATGGCTGTAAGTATCTATCTATTTAGCTCCCTACGTATCCTGGCTGCCTGACTTACCCCCTCTTCACCCTGGAACCATCTCCCCAATCGATTGACATTTATTCTGTGAATGATAGGACAAGGGGCACCGCTATGTCGCTGCTCTAGACACCGCGCGCTGTCAGAGTAGATGGGATGAACTCCCCGAGCTCATTCGAAAGGTGACCAAGCATGCGTCTCAGAAGTCATGTAATTTCTTGCCTCCCCCGACTTGCGACAACGAACCCCTCGAGCATAACTAAGACCGGTTTCTCGTCCAGGTCTATTGGAAGTAGCTTCGGCTGAATATCAAATCGCCGCCGAAACCCAAAAACGATCGTCAACTGCTCGGCCTTCATCGTCCTCTACCTCAAGCTTGCCCGAACTGATCCCGTCTCTTCTATCCACGGTCGAGAGAGGAGGCGAGTCGAAACAAGACACCTTTCAAGCGCAGGTCTGCCTAGGATGGGTACACTGGACACTTAATGAACCCGGGTTAGCGGTGGCTCGTCTACCCCGGGACTTCGAGGAGACCATAAACGATCTTGCGACCGAGGGACCCCTCTCCCCATGGACCGAGGTTTGTATTGTGAAAGGCTGCTACCTCAAAGGTAAGTTCTTGTGTCGTACAAGACGTCGGACAATAATACTGACTCGGCGTTTCCGGTAGGTGCTGCTCAGCACATGGTTTCTAGTGCCATTGAGGCTATCGACACCTTCAATTCTCTCGTACCCTGGTTAACAAGCCACGGCGAAGCGTCCTCAAATAACCCTCAGTTCCTACACTGGTCTGAAAAGCTACTAGGCGAAGGCGCATTTCTCGCTTGCGAAGAAGCAATTCAACAAGTCCCAGTCCTTGATGGCGGATTGGCGAAAACTGCCTTGAAACTAAGCAGACAATGGTCTTCTCATCCCCTCGTCAAGCAAGGAATTATATCCCCTGTCCAGCATTATGACGGCGATCGCGAGTCGATCTCAAAGTCGGCAATCTGGAAGTCTTACTACGGCCTTTTATCTGCTATTTTGGTCCATGAACTGGAATATTACCCTCCGGCGAATGGGTCGGCCCGCCCGCAGCTCTCTAGCGAGTTACGGCGCGTGGAATCACTCTGTGAGAGCAATCTCTTGCGAGAAGCCAAATTTCCCACGGCCGACTCTCAGAATACTCAGGTTGAGGATTGGGTTGAGCAAGTGATACAAAATTGGGAAATTCTTTGTGGGTCGGGCTGGACGGACGATGATCTCGGTGAAGGGGGTCAAAATGCAGTTGGCCGAAACGTTCTCGACGTAGGTACCAACGCGCGCAATCGGATGGCAAGCGTGCTAATATCGACTTGACAGATTCTTTACCGCGCAGCTACCAAGACATACCATTCACACCTAATTCTCCGTCGACTGTTTCACGTTCATTGTGCACTGGCCGATTTTGACCTAGCTCTGAAAGCTCTTGATTCCTATATTGAGATTGTCACGAATGCCAAAGAAAGGGCCGAGAAGGCTGCGCAATATGGCGATTTAGAGAATGATGGAACTTTGCTCAGAACTGTCTCCGAGGGCATTTCGATGCTTTGCTGCTTTGATTCGGCAAAGGAGGCCGAAAAAGCAAAGGGTCTGACCACTCTTCTGGCGAAATTCCTCGAAAAACATGTACAAGAGGACTTGGGTGATGATCAAGAGGAGGGAAGGATCACCATCATCCCGGAATCGAACTCAACTAATTCTCAAGCCGTGTCGCCATCTGACATTGCTACGGCGTACAGAGGCATTGGTATTGGGCTGGCAAACTGGGCCCACTGGACTCCTATAAACGAGGATCGAAATGACATACGAGCCGAAGCCATTGATTATTTGGAGAAGAGCATTGCTCCTGAGCTGGAGGACGAAACTAACTTTTCTTCACTTTACACGCTTGCGCTTCTTCTGGCAGAAGATCGAGACTTGGACGGTGCAATCGAATACGTCAAGGCCGCTCTAACATCCAGCACCCACCCTGGAGCCAATCAAGGCAACTTTTCCCGAGAACGTGACCTTGTACCCATGTGGCATCTTCTTGCGTTGCTGCTAAGCGCAAAACACGACTTCGATATCGCAGAGCGATCTTGTGAAGCTGCATTCGAACAGTTCCCATCTGCCGTCACGTCTCTTGCACACAGTGATCGACGACCGCAAAAGCAACAGAGCAATTTTAGAGAGCGTCCTGGTTCTCCCGGATTGGACCACGCCCTCATCGATCAGCTACGGGGCCGCGAAAAAGAGCGCATTATCGAGACCCGTATGAGCCAGCTTGCATTCATTGAGCTCCTCGAGGGTCCAGAAGCTGCAGTTAACCATAGTGACCAACTACTGGGGCTCTTTGCCACTCTCTTTGGTAACTTAAACCTTGAGCCCGACGAAAAGAAAACTTCACCGGTGGATCATCTCACGCCGCCGAAAAGCTCCGCGGGCACTGTGAAAAGCTTCCGCGGGAGCATTTTTAGCCGGAATAGGGGATCTCGAGTCGGGGCCGAGCACGCAAGCAACAATCAGTCGGGCAGTGTAAATACTTCGATGGCCCAGAATGAGTCCTCTATCAATATGGATGGGGGGCCGTTCATACATGTCACGGACGAGGATAGACAGGTGACTCAGGGAGCCCCTGCACCTGTCGCACGATCCGATTCCAAAAAGCTGCGAAAGCGTAGCAGTACCCTCAGGCAGTCCGAAGTTCTTCCAAGTCAACAAGCGGGTCAAATGAACGGCGAGATGAATGCTGTCAACCCCCCGGAGGTTACCAGCCCCCCGGGGACACAGCAATCGTCCGACGACGGAGGTCTATCCCAGGACATGGTGGGACTCGCAGTCTCGAGTGCCGAAAAGGAGCAAAGTGTGCAACATTCAAAACAGTCATTGCGCCCTGCTGCACATAATATCGATCACAAGAAGTACCCTTATCCGATAGGCCATGCCCAGCAGCCTCCTGAGCAGGATGTTCGATTGCCAACCTCATATGGATTCGATTCACCCACCAGGGCGATCACCAAGTTTCCTATAGCCCAGGCCCAAAAACATGCACTTTGTATTCTCGTCAAAACTTGGCTTCTTATCGCAGGGCTTTATCGACGAGCGTCCTTGTTTGACGATGCTCGCGAGGCGTGTGATGAGGCGGCCAAGCAAGTTACGCGATTCGAAGGTCTTTCTGCGGTGCAGGAATCATCGGCAAGGACCTTCACCGAGCGTGCGTGGGGCTCTCCCAAGAGCTCTGAAGAGCTTTGGGCTGACCTGCTCACCGAACAAGCGCTCTTGTCCAAAGCCCAGTCTCGTCCTCATGACGCGATGGACTACCTCGAAACTGCCTTGTTGCGTGATCCAGATCATCCAAAGGCCACTATTACCCTATCCAATTTCCTGCTCGATATATGGGATCAGAAACTGCCTCTTGAGCCTCCAGAGACAGAGCTCCAACCCGACTTGTCAACACCGTCCTTGGACTCGGCAACGAAACAAACCTTGGACCCCAAGAAACAATTGTTGCCGACTACGGATGCCAACGTTTCGAAGGGCGATACACTGTCATCTGCAATCCACGACGAGGAGCCCAGACTGCTCAATCGTATTGCGGCCCGAGACAGGGCATATGGTTTGCTGTCATCCTTGACCAAACGGGGAAGCTCTTGGGATAACACTGAGGCTTGGTATGCTCTTTCGAAAGCCTTTGAAGCACAGGGGCACATTGAAAAATTGAAAGAGGTGCTGTGGTGGTGTATTGAGCTGGAAGATCGACGACCGATTCGGCACTGGTCCAACATCGGTTCTGGTGTATATGTTCTCTAATGAGAATTATTTTCTCTGTATTTAAACCATTGGCAAGAGCTATAATATTTCTGCTTTTCTGGCCTAGAAGCAATATATACGTGGACAAAGACGTGCATCGTCTGCTAAGACCAATTTTACGTAGCCAATTACAGAAAACTCATTAGTTATGACTGTGAAACGCAATAGGAAAACTTTATTTACAAACGTCCCAGCACTAATAGAACGAAGGGCATTCTTTACGAACTCAAAGGACAGAAAGAACCAAGGGGGGAAACAGCAACTTTCTTTACTCGGCTATGCTACAGTTACCGGGGAGCGGCAACGGGTTCCCAAGCAGAGTACTTAGGGCGGGTGCTAAATAAACCATCAGTCAGCAATTGCGATTGTGAGATCACAGATGGGGGTTGGCTCACGTCGAGTAAGTCTTGAAAGCAGCGCGGCTCAGAGACAGGTTGGGCCTGTGCTCAGGGAGCTCCCAGGCGCGCTGGCCAGTCTGCATGAGCTTATCGGCAGTAGGGGGAGCATCAACGAGGTACGAGATCCAGGCGTGCCTGGAGAAAAGAGGGACGGTTAGCGCATTGTCCAAAATTAATAGAAACATAAATTGAACACAATTGGGCATTTCTTACCAGCCAGGCTCGATCTGCGAAGGGTCATATTCCTTCTCCTTGTAGTCCACCCACCGCGTTCGGACTATCCCCCGGTCAGTACGGCTCATTGGAATCAATATGAGCACTACTCACGAGGGAGCTCCTCTTCCATGTTCTCGAAAAATTTGTTGCCGTAGCGGTCGGTGCCAATCAAGGTACCGGCTTTGGTATCACCTGTAATCACGACTGGGTTAGTCCCCCCGCAACGACCGATCCGGGCCACGAGAACGTACCAATATACTATTTGTTTCCAAAGCAATTGAAATCTAGAGTAAGCATCCGGCGAAACTGAACCGATTGACCGTTCCCATCTGTGTCAATTCCGGGGGTAGTGCGTACCTGCATTTGGTGGCCATAATCCTGTGGAGGGGGAACATTAGCGAGGTCTCGCACCAAAGTATCTCGGTCGAACCTACCTTGATGCCAATTCTTTTCAGGTTCCGCAAGGTCCGGATGATGGTCGACATCTTGGGCGATATACAGCAGGGAGCTGGAGCAAGTCGTCGGGCTTGCAGCGGAGATCCGAAGAAGTCGAGGTTGCAGGGAGACTCGATGCGGTCGGTCTAGCGGGCCCCCGTGCTGCGGTTTGTCCTGTTTGCACCAGATTTCTCCGGCCTTCTGGACGCTGATCTTCACTTTCAATCTACACTTCATCTTTCGCAAGACCTGCACACCGTCGGAGTCGCTACGGCACCTGGCTTTCCAAGATGTTCGGACGCATTGGTGGCCAGGCTTTTCGATGTACCGCGCGTAGGCCCATCGCGCGGAGGAAACTCTGTGAGCGCAAATTCTCGGCGTATACGGCGAGCGCCGCTCCCAGCACCACTGGTGCTTCGACAGTCTCTCCTCTAGGGAGTATTACGGCGGAGTTGGATCGGATTGCGCCATGCTTCGAGGTCCCGGCTTCCAGGATCAGTGTCCTGGATTCTCCATCTTCTTTCTACGAAACCCTCAAGGTGGGTGTTCCGCGAACCATTGAGAGCGAGCGAGCTTTGAAACTAATTTGTTAATTTCCAGCAAAAAATACTGAAAGCCAAGCGACGCATCTATCTCTCCACATTGTATATAGGCAAGACGGAATATGAACTTATTCAGACATTGGACCAGGCTCTGCGTGACAATCCCGACCTCAAAGTATCCATCCTGACGGACTGCCTGCGAGGCACGCGCGAAACACCCAATCCCTCATGTGCCTCGTTGCTTTCTTCACTGGTCGCAGAATATGGCGCGGACCGAGTAGAAATCCGCATGTTTCATACTCCGAACCTCACGGGCTTGAGGAAAAAATGGATTCCCCGTAGAATCAACGAAGGCTGGGGTCTTCAGCATATGAAGCTGTACGGTATCGATGATGAGATCATTCTTTCGGGGTATGTGAATATATACATCTTTCATTTCTAGGGTCTCCATAAACTAAAGTGAGAACGTGCAGCGCGAACCTGTCCAGCGATTACTTTACCAACCGTTTGGATCGGTATCATCTCTTTAAGTCCAAAGAGCTCGCCGATTACTATGCTCGCATCCACTACGGCGTCTGCAATCTCAGTTTCCAGGTCTTGCCCGACCCTCACAGTCCATCTGGCTACCTTCTGGATTGGCCCACAGCCAACGGTGCCCCTTCTCCTCTCGACAATCCCGAAGACTTTATCGCCTATTCTTCAACAGTTTTGAGTCCGCTCATCCAGCCCTCCGACAAGTTCGCCGTCCAAGATAAGACATCGGGCCAAACATTCGTCTACCCCGTGGCACAGTTCACCTCATTGATGAAACCGGATACCTCAACCGAATTTCCCGCCGTCACTACCATCCTGCGATTACTCTCTACCTCCTCTGCTTTCGAGGGAGCCCGCTGGCTCTTCACGGCTGGGTACTTCAACATCCATCCTGTCCTTTCCTCCCTACTGATTGCAAGCACCTCCACTTCCGAAACCTCGTCGACCACTCGTGGCACCGTTCTGACGGCCTCGCCTTGGGCTAACGGCTTTTACGGTTCCTCCGGCATCTCGGGCATGCTTCCGGCCGCCTACACCCATCTTTCGGCCCGGTTCCTGGACCGAGTCGCCGTGGCGCAGAGGACGAACTCCATCCAGCTTAAAGAATGGCGCCGCGGAACCGTCGGCGAACCGGACGGCTGGACCTATCACGCCAAGGGGCTGTGGATCACCCTTCCGAAGGAAGAGCATCCAAGTCTTACCTTCGTGGGTAGTAGCAACTACACCAAGCGCAGCTACAGTCTCGACCTGGAGGTCGGTGCCGTAGTAGTCACGGGAGACCCGAAGTTGAAGCGACAACTGGGCGCGGAGACTGAACGGCTGCAGAAGGACTCGCAGCCCATCTCCCGCGATGATCTGAGAGATGTTGAACGTCGAGTCAGCTGGAAGGTTCGTCTGGCGATGTGGATTGTCGAGAAGGTGGGAGGCGCTTTATAGTTGTATTTTATTTTTGGGCCCATCACCGACCGGTTTCGGTTGCGATTTGGACGGTGTGTTTCTTTCTTAGATAGAATCCGTATACCCTTGTACTCTTTAATAACTGTACAGTGATTTATATAGACGAGTTATGTCGAAAACAAGTTTCTGTTTCCTTCCCCAGGGGACCTTTACCGATTTGTATATCTGAGGACAATTGAATATATTATTGTCTATCTACATCAACAATTCATACCCGAGCATAAGGACTTTTCAAAACGCGCAGAAATTGACAACATATCTATCATGCACGAGGACATGTATCATGACTCAAACCCAGACCGGGACGCCGCTGGCCGCACTTTTTTGAAGATCAGAAAACATTAAACAAAGAAAGGTATCATTGCGATTTCGTTGAAGCATGATCATGTTCAGGCCCGACCAGGAACCTTTCCAGACATGCGCGCCGGACCCAAGCCCTGGCGCACCTCGTCGAGCATTCTGATTCCGATGGCCTCGTTGCCGTTCTTGCCTCGCTTGTTTTTAGCACCCTTGCGTTTCGCCTGGGCACTCGTGTTGTTGTCCCAACCGGCAAGGAAGTCGTCCATCACATCGTTGAACCCACTGCGAGGAGCCACTTCCCTGCCATTTGCGTCCACTAGATTGGGGGCTTGCGACGAGGCAGTGGATACGCCGGTCATGCCGGTCATGCCAGTCATGCCGGTCATTCCGCTGACCATCGATGCATCATCGTCGAACTCGTCCTCTTCGTCCAGTGCGTAGAGCGCCTCGACCCGCTCGAACCGGTCGTCCAAAAGTCGGTGTCCCTCCGTCCTAGCTAGGGCCGAGGAGGACATGGAATACGCGGACGGGTTCGTCATGGCGCCCTTGCGCTTCTTGCGGCGGATGGGCGTGCCGCCAGCGGTGAAGACGGTGGACGCCAACGTGCTGCGCTGCTCCGAAGGCATGATGCTCGGCGGGGCCGGGGCATCCTTGGTTTTGCCGTCCTTCTTGAACTTGGCAAACTCGCGCATCCAACCCTGATCCTCCGGGTGCATGTCCGGCGCAGGCGCATCGTGCTCGGGCATTTCTCCCGGGACAGGACCCTGAGAGTTCGACTCCGAGTCCATGTCAGTGTGGAGGGCGTCCGATCGATCGGTCTGGACGGGGGCCTTCTCGGTGGCGTCGGATTCCCAGCCCTCGTCGTCTTCTTCGTCGAATAGCGTATCCTCCCAGTCACCAGCGTCCATTTCCTCCGCATGCGACGTCAACTGCCCGAACAGATCATCATCGTCTGCATCAACAAACTCCTCGTCCTCCAGCGCTTCCAGTGTCTCTCGGAGTCGAGGGTCCATGTTGGGTTGGAATCCCGCGATTTCGTCCGGAACATTCTGTTGATCCTGGTACGTCGGTTTGCGAGCATACGACGAAACGGACGAACGCATCTCGGATCCGTAGACACTATCTCCACCAAGCTGGCTTCTCGAGTCATCCATCGACATCCCCCTCAGCGCATCCTCCAGCTTTATCTTCCCTTTACCCTTATCCTTGGTCTTAGCCTCGACGAAATGCGAATCCCCGGCGCCGGTTCCCAGCTCGCGCAAATGCTGCATGTAATCATATTTGGTGTCATCGTAGTAAATTCCGTAGTTGGCGGCTTCACCCTCGTTTTTCCGAACGGCGCCAGACCCAAATTCATCGGCCAGGTCGTTCAAGTTCCTGGCCGCGTGGGTCGAGGGCTGTGCGCCGGGGGGCGGCCCTTTGACGGCATGGAGCACACGGTCGTCGGCTTCCGGGTCGTGAATTAGCGGGTCATTTTGGGATCGGTGGAAGAGCTGGTATGTGGTTGCGCTTTTCTTGTCACTGTTCACTCGGGCATTAGTGTCTAACGACTCGATCTCAAGTATGGTTACATAGACTTACATCCACTGCTTGCGAGGAGGCATTTTGAAAGGATGCGGGTCGAGACCGCTAGTTCAATGATCAGAGTTTCTCGTTTGGTATATCGGTGATCGCAAGGGCAAAATGTCACGATCTTGAATTCCTTGATGAGGGGAAATTGAAATTGAATAAAAAAAAAAGTGGGAGAACGCGGCGATCACGTGAGCTCTTATCGGCCCAACGAGGATTTTTGCTCTGGGGACCCTCAGGGCGACGCACCGAGTCCGATGGAAGACGAAGGTCGGCTACTGGGTCAGTTTGATGCTCCTCCTAGCGGAATTGCCCCTGATTTGACTCGATTTTGCTGACCCGCGTGAATCTCGCCAGGAAAGCAGAAGGCCAAACCAGCGACGCGCTGAGTCAGCGTCTTATCTTATCCGCCGCGGGGTCTTCCGAATCGGGCATATCGCAAACCCTTCAAAATTACTAATTCGGACTTTCTTCACTTTTCTTCCTTCCCTCCAGCTCCCCCCCTTTGCTTCTCTCCCCGTCTTATTTTGCCTCCCCCTTTGATATTCTTTGATCAAGAAGGCTCTCGTCTACGCAGTGGACGGAAACCACTCAACTCGACTGACCACACTTTCGCACCCCCCACCGCCACCATGGTTCTCGCCAAATCCAAAAACTCCGTGGGGCTGGGTAACAGCCTCATGAAGGACCGATTCGGCAAAGGAAAGCAGTCCAGCATGAAGAAGGCCTCGTACAATCAGTCGATCGCCCGTAAGGATCAGTTCGGAGAAACCTACGTCACTAATGCGCCCCAGGAAGCCGCCTGGGTGAAAATGCGCAGTATCACGGAACAAGGCGCCCTGGACGAGTTCCTGAGTACGGCCGAGCTGGCTGGCACTGATTTCACCGCGGAGAAGATGAGCAACGTCAAGATCATTCACGGCGACCAGAAGAACCCCTACCTGCTGTCCGCGTCGGAAGAGCGAAGCGCCGTCAAGAAGCACAAGGAGAACAAGAATCGACTGACGGTTCCGAGACGGCCCAAGTGGGATAAGACGACGACGCGCGAGCAACTCGAGAGCATGGAGAGAGAAAGTTTGTTGAACTGGCGCCGAGGGCTGGCGGAATTGCAGGACAACCAGGATCTTTTGATGACTCCGTTCGAGCGTAACCTGGAGGTCTGGCGCCAGCTGTGGCGAGTTATCGAACGGTCGGATCTCATCGTGCAGATTGTCGACGCGCGAAACCCGTTGCTCTTCCGCTCGGAGGATTTGGAGAACTACGTCAAGGAGATTGACCCCAAGAAGAGGAATTTGTTGTTGGTAAACAAGGCCGATATGCTAACGGAGAAGCAACGAGAGGCCTGGGCGGACTACTTCGACAAGCACGACATCAGCTTCCGGTTCTTCTCGGCCCACTTGGCCAAGGAGCTCAACGAGGCTCGACTCTTGCAGGGAGATGTTTCGGACAGCGAGGGCGAGGAGGAAGACCTGGCGGAGGCCGCCAAATCTATGAAGATACAGGAGGAGCAGGCCGAGGCGACGCCGGTCGAGGGCGCCCAAGAGGAGCATGATGGAGGACTAGAGCTCCCCGGTCCCAGCAGCGTGCGGAGAACAGAAATCTTGAACGTGGACGAGCTGGAAGAGCTCTTCCTGTCCAACACACCTGACACTCTCCCCAACAGTGACAACCCGGAAGCGCAGCCCAAGCAGAAGACCACCATCGGTCTGGTGGGTTACCCCAACGTTGGTAAATCCAGTACCATCAACGCCCTCCTCGGAGCCAAGAAGGTGTCGGTTTCCGCCACCCCCGGTAAGACCAAGCACTTCCAGACTCTGTACCTCTCTCCGGAGATCATGCTTTGCGATTGTCCGGGTCTGGTGTTCCCCAACTTCGCCACGACCAAGGCAGAGCTGGTCTGCAACGGTGTGCTCCCCATCGATCAACAACGTGAATTTACTGGACCGGCGGGGCTCGTCGCCCACCGCATTCCGAAGGAGTTCGTTGAAAACGTCTACGGTATCAAGATCCACACCCGGCCCCTCGAGGAAGGCGGCACCGGCGTCCCCACCGCGCACGAGCTGCTTCGCGCCTACGCGCGAGCCCGTGGTTTCGCCACGACGGGTCAAGGTGTGCCCGACGAATCGCGAGGCGCTCGATACGTGCTGAAAGACTACGTCAACGGCAAACTGCTGTTCTGTCACCCCCCACCCACCCCCGAAGGCCAACCCCCTATCGACTCGCACCAATTCAACGAGGATCTCTACGACATCTCTCACCTGCCCGCCCGACGACAGGCAATGCTTGCCAAAACCGGCCACGTCGAGCCGACCATCGACGATGACGATGAGGAAATTCTGGCTGAGCCGTCGGCCGCGCCCGTCCCCGAAAAGGGATTCCGCTCGCGCGACCTCGACTCGGGCTTCTTCGGACCCGGCTCCAAGACAGCCGGCGGCCGTCTGACCCTCCCATTCAACCACCAGTACACCGACCAGGGCCAGGAAATGCGCAAGCAGCTCACAGGCCGCAAGGAGCGGTTGATGGTGGCCCTAGACCGTGGCGTGGACGTGTCGGAGGTGCGATCAGGCAACTCGAAGAAGCATTTCAAGGCCAACAAGAAACGAGCCAAGGCCAAGCGCAACAACCCCGCTGACGAGGATTATTAAATCTGACTCTTGACTCGCGGGCGAGTTTTATTATTCTTTTCGCTTTGTTCTGTTTCCTTTTCCTCTCTCTTTCTCTATTCCAACTTTCCTTGGATTGATTGGGTCGGTTCTTGATATCTACTAGATATACGGTATATTTGTGGCGATTTACCGAGGATGAATTCTCAAGTTATGACATGGCAGCGCAATGAGGAAGGAACATGCTATATCAACAAAAAAAGTACATTGTTTGCGGTTACGGTTATTTCCTTTTGGTTTTTATTGTTGTTATTTAATTCATGGTTCATGGTTCATGGTTTCCTAGAAGGGGGACAATATCGAGGCCTTCCTTGCTTGGTCCATCCCTTCTTATGATATAGATATCTAGCTGTTAGCTTCCCTGACTATTCTACTGGAGTTATGTATGCTTAATGCTTCCATAAAGATGAATCAATGATGGTGCTCTTTTACGTGCTTCTTTCTGTTTCCGTTCGAGTGCGAGGGTCAAGTAGATGGTAAAGTTACTACCTAGTACGCATAGAAAATGTTCGCATGTATGCATATGTCGTCAAAATTTGTTTGATGGTTTGCCTGGCTAACTTGTACAAACTAGAACTAATTCTTGATATCATATTTTTCTGCTCTTCACAGATGGCTCTTAGGGTTGGGGTTGGCCAGGTTATTCGCCGCCAGCACCCGCTCCCCTTCTGCCCGCTGCCAGTTCAAGCGCTCGATGATGGCGTCCTTGCGGGTGCGGTTCTCGCGACGACCCATCTGCTGCAGATGGACCTCGTCGGGGCCGTCAGCGATACGCAGCGTGCGGATCATCGCCCACAGGTTCGCCAGCGGCGTATCCTGGCAGACACCGGCGGCGCCGTAGGCCTGCACGGCGCGGTCGATGACGGTCAGCGCGGTCTGGGGCACCAGCACCTTGGCCTGGGCGATCTGCAGGAGGGCCGATTTGGCATCGCCCTCGTCGATCTTGATGGCGGCGTTCAGCACGATGAGGCGCGCAGCATCGATCTCGATGCGCGACCGCGCAACCCACTCCAGAATGACGCCGTGGGCCGCCAGGTTCTGGCCAAACGTCCGCTTGCGGTCGTCGTTGATGCGCGCGATCAGCCACTCCAGGGCCTTTTCGGCCGCGCCGATCGTGCGCATCGCGTGGTGAATACGTCCGGGGCCCAGTCGGCCTTGGATGATCTCGAAGCCGCGGCCCTCGCCGAGGACCATGTTGGCGACGGGGACGCGCACATTCTCGAACGAGATGTGCCCGTGGCCGTGCGGCGCGTCGTCGTACCCGTACACCGACAGCATACGGTGCACTGTGACGCCGGGGGTGTCGGCGGAGACGAGGATCACCGACTGCTGTCGGTAAGGGTCGGGGTTGGCCGGGTCGGATTTGCCCATGACCAGGTAGACGCTACATCGAGGGTCACCGGCGCCGGAGGACCACCATTTCTGAGTTCAAGATAGGCTGATTAGCGGGAGAGAAGAGGCGAAAGGGAGTTGAAGGGGGTGCGAAACTCACCGAACCATTCAGGACGTATTCATTGCCTTCGCGGCGGATGTTCAACTCGATGTTGGTGGCATCGCTGGAGGCGACGTCGGGCTCGGTCATGAGGAATGCGGAGCGAATCTTACCGTCCAGCAACGGAGCCAGCCATTGCTGCTTCTGCGCCTCGTTGCCGTATTTGGCCAGCACTTCCATGTTTCCCGTATCGGGGGCGGCATTATTCGTCGCCTAAACCAGGTTACATTGTCAGGAAGGGGTGATTCTTAGGGGAGAAGGTGAAGTCAAAGCACAACGAACCTCTGACGCCAACTTGCTCTTTCCCAGGTACTCGGCCATCAGACCGTATTCGAGGTTGGTGAACCCGGCGCCCTGAGAGAAGTGTTTCTTGGGCAGGAACATGTTCCACAGGCCCAGCTGGCGGGCCTTGGTCTTCAGAGTCTCCAGGATGGCGGGGTTTGTCGTCCACCGCTGCTTGCCCTCACCCAGCTGGGCCTGGAAGGTGGGTTCGGCGGGGATGCATTCTCTCTCGACGAATTGCTCGACCTGGGGAAAGCGACCGACGGATTAGATGGAGAGCGACGGGGAATAGCCGGGGGAAAGAGGATCATACCAAGTCAAGCGTCTTTTTGGCACGGTCGCTAACGAACGGCTGTGCGATGGAGGGGATTCGGGTAGAGGCAGACATGATTCACAGGAGGATATACTTTAAGTTGTGGGATTGAAAAGTGACGTGGGAAAGTGAAAGAGGAAGTTGAAGGAGAGCGGCGAAGGAGGAATTATAAAGGATGCGGAGAAGTGGAGATGCCGAGGTTGGCCTCGGCAGTCCAACTGCGAAGGAATGGCCTGACCGGACGTCAAGGGAGAATGGCTACGCGGGTCTCCAATACGAACACAGATGATAGCAGTCGATTGTGATATTCAATTCATAATTCCGGTCCCAATCCAGAATCCCAATCCTTCTATGCAGACACATTAACACACAGTCCGGTGAACCAGAGAAAAAAAAAAAGACAAAAAACAAAAAGTAACCCCAAGAATCCATCCAAACACCAGACCAAACCCCTAAAGAAGGTATGAAACGAAGAAAAAGACACAAGAAGAATAATCAAAGTCCAGAAGAAAAGCAAGTATTAGGCCCATCTGCGCCGAGTCTCCATTCAATCATACGACTGGCGCCGTTGCGGGCAGCCACCCTGAAGCTCATCCAATTCATTTCATTCAATAAGTTCATGACGACTCGGTGCTCTTCGGGTGGCCATGCTCTGCTGACGACTGTTCGAAGTTCTTCTTGCCCAGTTTGGCGAAGAGCGACTGGGGTTTTCCGGCACTGCAACCAAGCGCGTTAGTTCTCGAACCGACAGATGTTGTGGACCAGGCCCCGGATGAACCGAGCTGAGTACTTACTTCTTGAAGCGCTTGCCCTTCAGATCGCTCAACTTCTTTGAGCAGGGGCTCATAATGTCATCCGACGGAGAAACGTAGTTGGCGGGTTGCCTGGGTAGGAGTCAGTCAGGGTGCTGTTTTCCGACACATGCCGTCGTGCTACTCACTTGTCGCCGCTGTCTAGCTTCCCTTGCAGCACAGCACGATGATATTCCATGGAGTTCATGTTGGCCGGGGCGTTCTTGAGCTCTTGGGCCTTGTCGGCGTTGGCCAGATGCGTGTTGGTGGAGCGATCGGTGAGGGGATGCGAGGGGGAGTCCATCTCGACGTGGTTATGAAGATAGAGATTGGAGTATGATAGCTTTCTCTTTCACTTCTTTTCTTTCGTCTGCTGGTTGTTTTTAGGATGGCAGATGTGTGGGGGAGAAAAAAAAAAAAGTGCTGGCAGAAAGACAAGGGAGGAAAAGTGAGGGAAGAAGAAGGTCGACGGGGCGGCAAAGAATGAAAGTGCGGCCCCAAACGATTGTTGGCCTGGCAACCAACTTTACTCGGCCCTTTCCACCCAACTTTCACTCCGGCCCTTTCCCCATGACGTTTGTCGGATCTACATGCCAGGTTTCATTCTCTTCACCCGTCTCGCACCTTGGTCGCTGGGGTCATTGCTGCCGCCACCGACTCCCCGGATTCCACGCTCGCGTCATCCGCCAATTCCTCGTCTGCCGTCAACACCGGCGGACTGCTGTGCGATCGGAATGGCGGTGCCACTTCGGCATCCATGTCGTCCACGGTCGCAATGCCCACCTCTGTCTCCTCCGCTTCCGGGCTGGTAGGCTCCGAGGGGGGCGTGGGCGGTGCGTAGGCGGTAGTCGGGCTGAGCGGTCCGTCCTGCGAATCGTCCGACAGGTTTCGTCGATGACCCTGCCCCCGATGGGACGAGGTCGGTCGAGTCGAGCTGGGACTCATCGACGGGGAACCAAACAGGGGTGATGAAGATCGTAGACTGTAGGACCGAGACACCATGTTCTGTACGCTGGGGAATTCCATGTAGCTGCCAACTGCGCTGCGCGAAAAGAGCACCAGCGCGAAGCAAAAGAGGACCATGATGCTCTGGATGACAGAAACGCGCTTTTGGAATACAAGCTCGTCGGCGAGCACGCCGAGTTGCGTGCTGATGGAAGATAGTTCTTGGTGGTATTGAATCCGCTGGTGCTCGAATTCCAGCGCAACGCTCTTCCAGACGTGGTCGTATTGCTCACGAAACTGTTTCAACTCGTTCAGAACCGTCACGTTCAGATTCTCCAGAAACGTCGAGGTTTTCCCCAATTGCCGCTTCTCGACCTTGCTGAAAGCATCGCGCAAAATGCGGGATTGTTCTTCGATGTACAGCAGCGAGAGCGTGGAATTAGACTCCAGCATCTGCAACCGCTTGTTGACCGATTTGAAAAAGGACTCCTGCGTCGTTGGATTTGGCGACGGAGGCTGAACCACCGCCGGACGCACCGACTCCGATCCACCACTGGGCTCATCCTTCGCCATCGTACCGGTAGCTCGCGGCACAGATTCGGCGGTTGCATTCTGCACTGCAGGGTCCGGGGACGGCGGTGGCGGAGACGAAGCAGGGGAAGGCACTACGGTCGTTTCCGCAGAAGCGGTAGACTTCGCCTCTCCAACGGCCTCCGCCGTAGGGACATCTGAAGCCGTTACTGGGGGCGCAGGTGCCTCTGTGCGGGTGATTGGTGCCTCGCTCGTGCGCGGGGGGTTCTGGTGCGTCGCGGTCACATCTCCGACTAATTCAACCGGGTCGGTTGAGGCGCCCTGCGCACTGCAAGTGTCTATGGTGCTCCAGGGCGCTGGCAGTAGTTGGACCTCGATCTCTCCGGCCGGATTGAAGCAAACAACTTCATCCGAAACTATCGGGTCTGGTTCTTCTGCCGGGACTGTCTCGGTTTCCTGCGTGAAAGAGCCCGCGCTCTCCTCCGACTTCACATCGTGGTCCACGGGACTCGGTTCAAGCGATTCCTCGGAGACATCGTCGTCCACTCGGCCGCCCTCGCCATCATGCTTGTACTCCTCCATCATCGTGGTGCCGTGCACCCGGATCAAACTGAGCGGGCAGTAGAATTCATGGCCATAGTGAGTCAGGAATTCGATCTTCAGATACCGAGCCCAAATGAGCGGGTTTTCAACTGCAAATGCCTGCACCTCACGCGTATTCCTGGCCTCGTAGATTCCAAGCTCCCTCCATTGATCCAGCTTGGCCGGGTACCGATCAGAGACGCTGACCCGGAAGGTGTGGAAGATGGAACTGAAAAACTCGTAGTTGGCCAGGACCACCGTATCCACCAGAATGTCATCGCACAATTCCAGGATCAAGAACTTGTTGTTGGCGCGACACTCATTCAGCATATAGCTATCTTTGTTCTCGATCAACACCGATGACGAGCCTTTGCACTCGGAGTTGGTCTTAAGCACCGTAGCCGCGCAATCGAACGACGCATAGTTGAACCGCTCCTTGCACGTGGTCCCGGCGTCCTTTCGACGAGATATACCCGCCCGCGATATGCCATACGCAAGGGAGTCTGCTTGCTCCTGGTCCGCCTTCTCGCGGGCGTCGTCATCGCCGTCTGTCTTCCGCGCCTCAGGCGCCCATGACGTCGGCCTCGCAGTTTCGGCCGTGTCTGCACCGAACCCGCCGAAATCGAGCTCGATCTCGCCATCATCCCCGAGCGAGTCCAACGCATTGTTGATCCCCGTGGGCCGTCGGCGGTCTTCCTTACCGGCCGCGCCTGCATGTCTGCTTCCTCCGACATCAGCCGACTGTCCGGCCTTGGCTAAATTCTGCTTTTTCCAGTCTTCGAACGACAAGAAATTGGCGTTGTCCAGGAGCGAGTCGGTGTCCAGCTCGTGGTCCTGCCGTTCCGTCGGTGCAGACGCCGGAGTCTCCGAAATTTTGACTGCATCGGTTTCGCCCTTAGTCGGCCCCTCAGTAGCGGTGTGGGAGTCTAGTTCTGGCGTCCGTTGCCACCGCGTCTCAACGCAAACAGGCCACTGAATGAAACCAGCCTCGGCCTCTCTCCAGTCGCGTGCCAGGCAAATAGGTGGCGTGTTCTCTCCCACGGTGCCCTGGATCCAGCTCGAGGCCAGTGCGGCCACCGCGACCGAGCTGGTGGTCCAAGAAGCAATCAACATCATGCGATCCGGTGGATTTTCTTTTATGTTCGTATCAAACCACCGGGATCGAGAGGTGACCGAGGCGACTGGGTGGGAGGGCGTCTCGTTGGGGTCACTCGACTAAGTCAGGGAGCGTCGCATATGCATCGTCTTCTGTAGATCAGTGAAATAATTAGAAATCAAGCTCGGGGAAAGGCTAGTCAATTCGGTGGCCAGAAAGAAAAGAAAGCAAACTGAAGGGGGGGGATTACAGGAGAACTGTCGGCAGCCAGCAGGCAATGAATTGTATACAAGAGGGCAAGGCGCTCAAGTGCTCAACAGGTCGCGGGCATCGGAGATAGCAACGTTTGACATTCGCGAGGAAACCGGCTCGGACCCATAACGAAAGTCACTAAACTATCTGGCTTCTCCGCACGTGGAGAGCGCTCACCGCCTGTCCACACCGCCTTGTCTAATCAGTCAATCCTCCACACAGTCTGGTTACATACACCAACGACCTCAATTATACTTAGACACTTAACCATGGAGTAGAGTGTAGCACAGATACGAGAGTCACTTTTGTTTCATGTTGACTTGAATCCTATCAATAGTCCCCGCCCACTTCACCCGCTTGTTTGTCCCAGCTAATTACAGTACAGAGAAACGAGTCCAGTACACCTGTGTCCTCAAGTAGGAAAGAATGAAGGGGGAAAGGAAAACCATTCTCGTAGCTTTTTTGTTGCTTTCTTTCTTGTATTGGTTGTAGTTGATAATTGTTGCGAAGCATCGAAGAGAAGCTGATCATCGCCTCGCCCGTTGCGCCGCCGGTCCTGCCCCCGTCACGTTGAACCTTTTTTGCAGATATAAACGAACATTTTTCAAATCAAAACCTCTCAACCTTCCCCAGAATTGCATCTCCTCCAGGCTACCAGTTGATGTGTCACTTTTGAACTGCTCGTCGCCACCGCGTCCTTGTTCGAAGAGTGCTAAAATATTATACAAGAGTGGAAGAGGAAACACGAACATCAAATGTGTAGAAGCCGCGTACAAAGGATCTATCACATGGGAAGAGGCAAAAGGAATAAAAAAGGTGATAATGTTGAAACCATAATTTCTGTTAAAAGATAATCGACCGAGCGGAGAATGAGATTGGAGTGTAAGATAAAGAAGAAGGGAGAAATAAAAAGGAACACGAAGTATGAAACGAATTGTGGTTTTCTCGGCTTTTCTTCCCAAGTGTAGTATTATACGGAACAGGATGACGAGGACAGGTTGGCAATTTGGCGATTTAGGCGATGCGACTCCAGCTGAAGTTAGAGGTGCAGGTCGTGCCAGCCACCAACGAGATCAAGATCCTCGTCGACGCTACCGTCATAGCTATTAAAAGATTTCATATTAGACTTGGGTGACTCCATGGCATCACGCCGCCAGCCCTTCTCCAGGAATGGGCGGCGGCGGCGGCCCTGAATAGGTTGAACATCCTTCTTGGCCCAGGAGCTGTAGTCAAATCCCGAAGAGCCGAGACCCCAATCCTTGCGTCGGGCCATGTTGGCCAGGAACGACTTCTGCCCAAATGGAACGCTGGGCGATTTGTAGTTCCTTCGCTTATCGCCCAACGCTGCCCATTTATCGAGACTGCCCTTCTTGGGGGAGCTGTCCGGTGATTGAGGCGGCGTCGCGAGAGGGGTGACCCCATGCTTGACGAGAATCGGCTTCTCGTCGAATTCGTCCGAGTCGCTGGCTGGCTCTCCGATGTGCTGAGAGCGAACATTCCGAATAGAAGAGCTACGAGCATCTCCGAGGTCATGCAGAGGACCCGACAGCTCAGGGGCATTGCTCTCGTGGCTCCAGCTCCGAGAGTTCTGTTCGCGTCGTGCCTGCAACGCAATGTCTTCGCCCTCGGATTCCTCTTCCTCGTCCCACAGGTCGCTCCAACTTTTCGAAATTTGGTCTTGCTTATTCCGGCCAAACACCATAGACAAGGACGGGAGAGGCTTGGTCGCATGGCTTGGCAGAGATCCAGTAATCGGGACGGGATCAGATGGAGGGGGGAACCGAGGCTCGGGCTTGCGAATACCAGTTGAACGAAACGAGTCGCCGAGAGCAGATTCAAGAAGAGATGCCATCGAGGGGGTGCCTTGCTGGACGGAGAACCAAGAGGTACCGGCAGTCTCGGATGCAGGGAAGAGATCTTCCGAATAGCTTTCGTTGTCCGGAATGGCGGAGAGTTGACGAATGGCCTGGGGAGGGCTGGATTGAAGGGCCTTGGCCCACGGGAACGAATCGCCTTGGTTGATAAGGGGGCTCGAGATGGAAGGCGTGCGGAGGGGCTCGCGGTTGGCACTTGCGGGCACCACTTCGCGGTCGTCGACGCAGAAATCATCCAGTTCATCGTCATCAGTGGTGAAAGAGACGGTGCGGAAGATAGCGTCCCGAACGCCAGAAAGCGAGCGCTTCTCAGGATCAATAGCCAAGGCATATCTCAATATCTCGAAGGTGTCCTGGGACATGTTGGTGAAGATATCGAAGAGAGACTGTCGGTCCCGAACATAGTCCGCAAACAACACATCGGATTCGGTCGGCGTGGCGAATGGGTTGCGAGCGAAGAGGACATTGAGCAGGCAGATGCCGATGGCCCAAATGTCCGCCTTGGCGGGAGAGTAGCCGTTGGAGGCAGGATCATACTGCTCGGGAGCCATGTAGCGATCACTCCCAACGCAAGCTTCGTAGCTCCAGGCATCACGGGTAACCAGGCCCAAGTCACCAAGCTTCATAGACCCGTCCTGAGCCAAGAAAATGTTCTCGGGCTTGATGTCGCGATGGTACAAGCCATTCTCGTGCATGAACTCGACAGCACTGATGAGCTGCAGCATGAAATCCCGCACGTGCTCGGTCTCGAGGGGTCCGCGGTTAAGTCTGATAGCCTCGTACAGGTCCCCATTCGTGCAATATTCCAGAACGAGATACATGTGCGCTTCGGTTTCGAAATAGTGGATAAGGTTGACGATGTTGGGATGATATCCAAGGCGCCGGTGACTGTTGAGCTCCTCGAAGCGAGCGTCGAAGGCAGGCTGGATCACGGCGTCACCCGACGGCTTGAGCATACATTTGATGGCAACATCTTGACCAGTCTGGATATCGGTCGCAAGGAAGACCATACCAAAGGATCCATGGTTCAAGGGAGCAACCGTGCGAAATCGACCATCCAAAAGTTGGCCCTTGACGAACGTGTTCTTGAGGCAATCCATTGCGCGTGAAGGTATCAGAACAGATCACGACCAATAAATATAGTTGATGTTCAAGAAGTGAGGAAGGCGAGTCCGCGATTCCAACGAGACGTTGACCTCCGAGTGAAACCAAGAAGAAAAGAATAATGGAATGCAAGTAAAAGAGCAGGAAAGAAACGAAAACAACGCAGTAGACTGTTGGCTCAAAGTCTCATAAATATCGAAAGTGAGGATATGATCACAAAAGGAAGTCAAAAAAAGTAATGAGTAGGCACGAAGCGCAGTTTAGGAACCGGCGAGGGTTGACAACAATAGGAAATTTGAAAAGACTGTTATAGGTTCATCGGTATATCGTTTTGCAAGAGTTGAGGGCGAAAGCCAAATGCTGACAAGTATGAAAACTGAAAGAGTGTGTCGAAGAGAAAGACAGTGTCCGGCGAGAAGGACACGGAAGGGAACAATCGAAAAACGCTGCGTAATATCGTAATTTTTTATGCTGGATGTATAAACAAGGCTCGTGAAACAGAAAGTATAGAACGGCCTTCGAACTCCAGGTTGCGAAGGACCGAGGTTGTCGTGACTCAGGAGAGGAATCGAGGTTGAGCTATGACGCAAGAGTCATAGGTTGCCTGAGACGACAAAGAAATCCCAAGTTGGGAGGGAAGGCGGAGGTGATATATAAACGTTGCTGAGGCTCTGGACAGCTGGTACCAGGCGTCTTCAGCCCTGATGCTTGGGCAGATTGAAGATCCGAATACCAGCACCCGGCCCAGGGAGAGGCGAAGAGGTTGACAACTAAGCAAGCGTCGACCTCAGGAGCAAATTGAAATCCTCACACGTAGTATCAATAGGCGATTGAAACGTAGCACAATTTCTGAAGTTGAATGGCAGAGGGACGAAGCGTCGTGGGTCCGCAGTGATTTTAAGACAAGTAATTGGCTTGATATGAGTCACGGTAGGTGTTCGAAGGTCCCGGAACAAGGCAGCGGACGAGAGGCAGGTGAAACGGTTTTTTTTTTTTTGGGGAAATGGGCACTTTATTATTTTTTCCGCAGTACAGCCGAGGACAAGGTGATTCTGAACTAATCAAGGCCTTGTATAGGTATTGTCCCGCTGGTGACAGAGAGTTGAGGGCGAAGTTGAGGTGAGTCTCGGTCTTGGGGGTAGTGCTGTAGAGAGGCGACGAAAGGCGAGAGGAAGGGAAAGAGGAAGGAGCAACGGGGAGGAGAGAGACAAAGGTAGGAGTGATGAAGTCGATGACGAGGAGATGGGACGATAGGGAGATGAGGGAGATGAGATGATGATGATGAGAGGAAGGGGAAGGAAGTAGGTAGGTAGGGACGGGATGGGGATGGGACGGGGAGCGCGGATAAGTTGGCAGGCGATAGGGATAAGGAGGTCCGGATGATAGCAGTCGGACTGGCAGGTCGTCGTTGATAGGTAATAATGGAGTCGGTTGAGGGGCGAAACGTCGAATGAAAGGCGAGACGGCAGCCGGAACTTTGGAGGGGGGGAGGAAGGAAACAAACCCACTCACCCACTCATCCACTCACTGCAGCGATGGCGAGAAGATGGGCGAACGAGCGAGAACCCTCCCTGCTCGGCTTTTCCATGGAGTGACCACCTTGGCCCAAAGGTGGGTGCCCCGCCAGCCAATGACGCCAGACCGTTACCGTACCATTACCATCAAGGGCCCCGTTTCCTCGTGGTTACGATACGTGCGATCTCCGGTCGGCCCACCAACTCGCCTCGATGGATGCAGGTCGAGAAGGTCCCTAGGCCGCTTTCGGTCAGGGCCCCACACCCCCCTGAATG